ATAGTGGATCACACTACTTGATACCACCCCTTCCACATCCACATCCATAACCACCTCTCCTCTCAGCTTCTGTGAGAGGATCTGATCTTGCTCTTCTGCTGCTGTAGTCAAGTTTCCTTAAACTGTGGTCACCCCCCTAGCTTACAGCGCTACAATGAGTTCTGTTCTTCTTGACCTAAGCTCTTCCTCATGGTGCATGGTGCTCTGTGGCATTAGTTCCTTATTATTGTTACAGTAGAATGCCACAGAGTTAGCAGCTTAACATGACACAAGTTTCTTATCTGCTAGTTCCAGAGATCAGAGTCTGAAATCAGAGCTAAGATCAAGGTGTGGATGGGGCTACTTCCTTTTGGAAACTCTAGAGGAGGATCTGCTTCCTCACCTTGTCCAGTTGTCCTCAGCTCATGTCACAGAACTCCTCCCTGAGCTTCTGACCTCACATGGCCTTCTCTTTTTTTTATCTTACAAAGACTTTTATAGATGAAACAGATGAGCCAGAATCCACTGAATGGGAGGAGGGTATGTTCTACACACAGACCAGAAACACGGTGCCCTCGTGACAGACACCATAAGCATTTCTGTGTCTAGAACACTGAAGACACAGAGACAACAGTGACAGGGGAGCCTGGAGGGGGTCCCTGTGCCAGGTGTGTGAACTCGCACAGTGCGACCACCAAATCCCAGCTGGAGTATGCATCTCTGCCCCTGGAATGGTGTTCAAGAATTTTGATGCAAAGATTTGAAGCCAACATTCCCATCTTTGTTTAGTGAGGTGAAGCATGGTCCCAACCCTGGAGCAAGTAAATGAGAGTCTTCTCGTGGGGGATAAGCCCAGGCAGGGATTTTTCTAAGCTCTGAGTAATTCTACTCTGCAGACAGGGTTGAAACCAAAGCCTTAGGTTAATTGCTTCACGGGTTGAGAAGCAGTTTTCAGAGCTTAAAACAACGTGAGAGATTGCCACTCTCTATAGCACTGACCACATAACTTACAAAGAGAGTGCATAGGAAAAAAAACTCCTTGCATCCTAAGAGAGTGGATGCTGGAGTCAGACATCTTTGGTCAGAATCCTGGACACCAGTCTTGGTGTGGCTGTGCACAAACCATCTAACCTCTCTGGTGCTACTTCTGTCTATAAAAGGAATCTCATAGGGCATTGGGGTAGAATAAGTGAACTAATCCATGTGAATATTTGGTGTGATGGTTGTCACATGGGCTTCATAAAGGTAGGATACTGTTATTATTGTGATTGCCAAATATAAAACCAACATAGTCTCCTATCAGTGGGGATCTTCCAGGGTATAAATGATCTGCTGGTCTCCTGCACACGTAGATGTTAATACCTGCAGAGACCAAATGGTGAACATTTTGAAGACAGATATTGAGTTGGGCAAACGAACCTTTGAACTCACATAAACCCACGTTATGTAGAAGCAACTCCACTTAACAATGGGCCAATGAAATTGACAGAGAGAATTTGCAACATCATAAGTGATCTATGAAGGAGATTCTTTAGGGCTGTGAGATCCCTCCCCCATCCCCTAAGGCCAACTCCATGCCAATATGTGCCAACGGTCAAACCTTCACTTGAATTTCTTCATTGGAGTTGTGTTCCTTTTGAGTAAGTACGATCAGCTGAGTGGCTTCCTCAGATAGCAGTACTTTCCACCAAATACAGACAGGAATCAATTGAGAAGTTTTGTTTTAGTTCTTAAGGATCAAGAAGAGACATCGTAATTGGTATTTCGCCCTCCTTTCTGCCCTCTCCTTGATCTCAGCTAAAATTTTCTTGGAACTGGGCAAGAGCTGGCCACTGCTAGTCCTTCAGGGTAAGAATGTAGAGAGGGAGGCAGGGCTGCTGTTCCAGATGGGGTCATCTGGAAAAGACACTGAGATGACCTGTGGTACAGACACAATGCAGCACAGGGACGACAGGCACCCGAGGGTGACATTCCCTTAACCGTGTCTGCACAGGAATGAACCTGAAACCAGGGAGCAGAATACAAAGTCAGGGAACTGTGAAATGATGCTAATTAAAAGCCCACAGTTTTGATGAAAAATAGGTTTAAAGGCCGCACTGGTCACAGAGAAAAGGCAGATTCCTGCTCTTTTAATGGTCCTACTTTTCAAAAATGAGGCATCGCAAGTAGGGCCTGGAGTGACTGCGTTTCAAAGGAGAATGTTTGATCTTCAAAGTGAGTGGTTAGAACATTCATCCCGGGAAAGAGGTAACCAACCCCCAGGTTCTGGGCTCCCATCTCTCCAAACCCCTGGCCCCAGCCCATTGAAGATTGCTCACTGGCAGACTCTCTTATCATGAAGCACAGACAATGGCAGCTGCCAAAACTTCCAGCTTCTCTGAATTATTGTCCAAAGCCTACTCTCCCCTAGGACTACAAATCTCCTTCTGGGGAAAATAATCTTGAGCCTCTGGCATGGCAGGCTAGCTTGTTCCTGAATTTCTCTCTCCTCCTATACGTACTTTGTAAACTCCTAGATCAGCTCAAGTGTCACTGTCATGGGAAACTCTGATCAAGAAGACACTATCAGATCCCCTGTTCTGGACTTTTGGGGCCCCTTAAGAGCCTACTGATGGGCAGTTGTCTGCGATGCCATGGCTCGTGTCTATTCAGGCCGTAACTTCCAGCAGGCCCACATGGTGCTGCTATGGGGCAAATATAGAAAACCAGTAAAATTGTGGCTCTTGCAAATATAAGATGAATGCATCTCAACAATTTTTACTTAGCTCTTTCATTAATGAGGAAACCAGTAAGATGTTGACAAATGGTTCAAAGGAGAACCCATAGAGCAGGCAAACATGTAGGCAGCAGAAATGTTGAAAAAATGTACAAACAAAACTGGCAACCCCGGCCAATATCCACAGGGCAAGAATCAATTGCATTCCATGGGGTGGAATTTGCATTTCTATGAACAAGAATCATTTGCATTGCTATCAGTTTTCCACAATTTACAGAGCTGTAAAATAGCTCAAAGACAGAAAAAAATGGAGATAATTCAGGGGAGACAGCCAGACAGGACACCTACACATCTTTTTGGTTCAAGCCAAGGCTTTTCCCAGTTTTTTATTTTGCTCTTTGTCACCTTCCCACTATTTCTCACTGACTTCACAACGTAGTAGGGACTCTGGAGAAATATATTAGGTAAAGGACAGTTTTGTGGTTGTATTTAATGAAAAATAATATATTTTGTATCTAGTAGGGGATTCTTGATTTTAACCCATGCAGGTCTCCTTGGAGAGTGAGTGTGGTCACCCCTAGTAGGGTAAGAAATCCCACCCAGATCTTGGGAGAAAGTGCATCCTAAAAGGCATGCTTGGCTCAGTGATAAATTCTCATTTATCAGCGTGCACACAATCAGCGACACCATTTTTATTATGTGAGCATCTGAAGAGAGATTAGATGCTGTGGAGGAACAGGGAAGCAAGAATGAGCTGGAGGGGATGGGGCTCGGAGAAATAAGTCAGGAGGAGAAAGATGCTGGATGATTTCACTCACACGTGGAATACAGAGAAACAAAACAAAGGAACGAAATAAATCAAAACAAAGTCTAGAACTCTGTAGAATTGAGACCACATGCGGTACAGAGGAGGGTAAGGAGCAGATTGGAGGAGCCCAAGGGATGGTGATAGAGGGTTCTGGGGGCTTTGGCGGTGGGTGTGGTGTGGTGACATCCATCAGAAGAGAGGTGGACCTAGGTCCCTGCACTGTACAGAGTGCTATAAACCAATGTGACTTCCATATTAGATAATACTCTAAAAAAAGAAAGAAAAGATCTTTTTCATTTTTTAAAGATTTATTTATTTATTCCCAGAGGTAAGAGATGGGGTGGAGGCAGAGATGTCTTAATTCCTAATGTGCAATCATTTTTAAAGTTTTCTAAAATGATATTGACATAATGCCACAGTGTCGACATGTCAAAAGGGCAAAATTAAGTCACCAAGCTGCATAAGAAACAGACCTAAAGTGAACTTCATCTGACCCCAAATCTCTAAGGCCCAGCTGCCTTTCCAGTCAACACGGAGGCAGCTAGTGTGATGTGGAGGTGTGATGTGGAAGAAAGGCCCAGATGATTTAAATGTGGTGGGCAGGTTGCTCTCCTCCAAACGCCCATGTGCTGATCCCCAGAACCTGTGGATATATTACCTTCTTGGCCAAGGAAAATTAAAATTACAGCCATCTGCAGTCATTAAGGTTGCTAAGCAACTGACCTTGTGATGTGGAGATTATCCTGGGGATTTTCCAGGTGGGCCCAATAAAAACAGGTGGGCCCAGCAGAGTGTCCTTAAAAGAGGGAGGTAGCTGTGAGGCAGAGAGCTGTGGCTAGGGAAGCGGGTTATGGAGATACCTTGTTGCTGCCTTTGAAGATGCAGGAACAGCCCACAAGTGTGGGTGCTGCCAGAAGATGGAAAATCAAGGAAAGGGATTGTCCCCCAGAACTTCTAGAAAGAATGTCTGTCCAGTGAGACAGTGTCAAATTCCTGAGCTACGGCAGGTAGGATAATAGACTTGTGTGTTTTAAGTCACTGAGTTTGCGGTCATTAGTTACAGCAGAAACAGGAAACAAATAGTAGGTGCACTTGAGGACCTGAACGCTGACGTGGGAACACTACATTAGTCCAGATTCTTTGGGTATAAATAATTGAGAACTTATTAGAACCGACCTACCAATGACCAGCAAGGTTGAGATGACCCCGTGGGCTCAGCATAAGTCATGCTCCCCACCCTACACCCTGCTAGCTTGCGGGGGTGGGGTAAGTCAGAATCCCATGGACCCCAATTAGGAACCAGGTGTTTGGACAACGGAAAGGAAAAGCAAATTCTGGGGAGACTCCCACAGATGTCCGTGATAAACTGCTTTCCACTCTTTTGTAGTTTTTGAAAGGCAGATGTTAAGTCCTATCACTGCAGATACATGAAAATAAAGCAGGGAGAAGGGCCTGTTGACATCGGAACACACATCTTCTAGACGATTGATTGACTATATTTTTATTATTTGTTTTTGCCTTCACTCCAGTAAAAATTGTCTGGTATTCTGCCCAAGAGGTTGATTAATAAGCCTTCAAAAGCTGGTTGTCTTTAAAGGATTCATCTGAGTCCATTTCAATGTTCTTTGTTCCTGCAGCTTAAAGGCCACCACACCAGAGCTCCTCTCGCTTGACTCTCTCTTCCACTAAATGTTCCGTCGCTATTGTTTTATTGCAATCTATTTACAAGCAATGGGCGACTTTTTTCCCATGGTGCCTGGAGCCCTGCGCTGTGTTTGTTTATTGCTTCTCTGTGCACCAGAACTCGTCCTTGGGATTCAGCTGCCAATGTAAGGGATTAAGGGGCTAAGTGAGTCTGACTAGGGTAGGAATCTCTAAGATGTGCTTCTCTCGCCCAGCTCTTTTGCAGGCAATTTTATTTAACACACTCACTCTCTCTCTCTCTCTCTCTCTCTCTCTCTCTCTCTCTCTCCTCATTACAGCTTGGTAACAAAACAGTTACATTTCCCAATATTGATTCCATCTCTTTTTAGGTCTTCTTGGAAAACAGAAAATATACAGATATTACACGTATACATATTTCCAAATGCACATATTTCCATTCATTAATAATCTGCTTTTTTCCTTTAATCAAAAGTACCCCACAGGACCATCTAGCATCCGTCCTGCCACAAAGCACCCACTCCCAGCAGCCACTGAATGGACTGGCTCAATTGCCTGGAAACCACTTGTCAGAAGTGCTTTAGTCTTGACCCCGGTGATGGTCAACACGCTTGTGCTTCCTCACTCCCCCTGGCCTGTGGATCTACTAATCCTAAATGGCCTATTCGGCCACCATTTTTGTTACCTGCAGGTCTGCATTCCTATACAAGGTCAGAACTGCCTGATCAATCAGTCAGAGCCAAACCTTACAAGGTGCTTTTCAAATCAACCAAGAGCTTAAAGCTTGATCACCCAGGGAAGGGCATGCATCATGAGGTATGACTGGAAACACACAGGGGGGCTGAATACCCATGTATAACAAGGGACCCCAGAAGCTGATCAGTGGACTGCCTTGTTGATAAGATTGAAACCATGGCTGGGGAACTAGGGCTTGATCTCAATTACAATACCAGGTCATCAAACAGATGAGAAGTGCCTGGAGAGCAGACCCCCAATGCCTGATAATATAGATGTCAACACAGTTTCTAGAGACCTTCTTTCCCTTTTCCCTTTTCCCTCCTTCTCCTCACAACTGATGTTGTCTGATTAGTCTATCAATAAAAAGTCCAGGATCTTGCTCTTCAGCAGCATCCTTCATTATGTAGTCTGCTGCACAGCTCCCGTTTCTTTATCAGTGTGGTGTTGCCTAATGCAACACTGGCCTACACCAGGGGGCATCCCTACAGCTGAGGCACAGCACCAGGGCATCTCCAGAGTCACCCCTAAAGGTGGCCTCCACTGTCCCCCACCACAAAGGCGGCTTCTGAATCAAGCACAACCAGGCAGTAACCCCTGCACTTGCATCCAGTATAAACCAACATCTTGGGGCACCGCACAAAATGGCAAAAACTCTATGTCATCTGTTCCTGTCATGTTTCGTGTCTCAGATGCTCATGTTTTCGAGGGCTAGACCTGCAGTATTCAATATGGCAGCCAGTAGCCATATCTGGCTATTTAAGTTTAAATATAAATTAAGCACAATTCATTTCCTAAGTCACTCTGACCACATGTAAGTTCTCCATCACCGCACATGCCCAGCGGTGATGTGGTTTGTGACACTGAACATTCAAGTCATCAAGTTTCCAACCACTGCTCAGCGTCAGGCAGGATGACAGAGGATCTCCATATCAGAATAAAATGTCATCTTGTAACATATAGGTCTGAGCATATGGCACCACAGCACAAAGTAGAAAATTAACTGACCTTCAAATGATAAGGACTGATAAGTGTGGGGTGATGATTACATGCCACACATCACGGGTCATTTAAAATGGGCACTATTAGTGGGATCAAATCCTCCATTGAATTTTTTTTTAAATTTATAATTCGCTTTCTAAGAAGGTAAGTGTCTCCTTCATCCTTCACACTAAGCCTCCAGCTCTCCGGCCTCCGCTTCCATCAATTCCCCCCACTGGCTCTCCGTGCTGTCCCTTCCTAATTCATCGCAATTTCCCAAATGTGAAAGAATATGATTCCAGGCTTTGCTTACGCTGCTCTCAGTGCCGGGAAAAATCTTGCATCCTGTCTCCCAGTTGCTCATCAGTCCCTTTTCTAGAATCCTGATTGGACATTAGACGCCCACCCCGACACTCCTTATTTCTGCCTTTGAGAAGCAATCGTACATCGTATTGCAAAGGTCCTTTGTGTGTGAGCGACTTCATTGCAGCGTCCGGAGGGCAGGGCCCGTGATGTCCTCCCCAGGCTGACGGTTACATTTAAAAACTGTTCAATATCATTTTTGTAAAATGGAATGTTTGAGGCCCTTAAATTCTGACCCCAGTGTCTTCACGCCCTTTCCACTGCTGTTATACAAAACGTCCCATCCTTCCAGCCTGGACCACTCATCCCTCTTCCTGAGGCACACCAAGCCCCTCTGGCCCCCATACTCTGCACATATTGGCTACTTTCACTGGAAAACACCCATTCCTCATTCTCTCCCCCATCACCCCCCAAGCCTACACCTGCCCTGCCAAGCTCAAATAGCTCCTCTGGAAGCCCACCCAAAGCCCGCTCATGCAGAATGTGTTTTTCTCTATCCCACCCTTTGAGTGTTCTGTGTTTGAATGCCCCTTTTAAAGTATTTATCACAGGCTGATTTTTATTACCTCTGGTTGTATCCAAGTCTCTCTCCTTCACCAGCGTGTGACCCTTTCAAGGACACAGGCGCTGTCTTATTCATCTTTATTTTTCTCTTGCTCTTAGCACCAGAGCGGCCCACAATTGACACTGGAAAGTGTTTGTTGAATGGAATTTTGCTGTGCAAAGGAGCACTTCCTCTAAACGACGGAAAAGAAAAAGAACAGTGACAGCTTATCTGAGGAGAACACAATGGACTGAAAAGCCCAGCTTTGATCAAAACCCTGCCCAGGAGCTCTCCAGCTGCTCAGATGTGGCTCCCGGCATCTGGGGGGAGCGATGGACGCTCAGGTAGGCACGACGTGACCAGGGCTGAGGGAGAAGGAAAAATACCAGCAAGGCCAAGGCGGGGCTGCACACTCTGTCTTTGAATGTCAGCAGAGCTCAGGGCAAAGAGGAGCTGCAAACTGGCAAATGGAGAGACTAAGTTCTGTGCTTTATATGTTTTCAGTTTTGATATCTACAAGCAGTCTATAATGCTCTATTTTTTCAGAAGGCAGAGATGAGCTAAGGTTTGATTGGGAGGGGATAACAATAATGATCTGGATTTAAGCATCAAGGGAAATATTAGTGTCGAAGTAACAGAATTTTCTCATCTAGGAGGGATTCACAGATCATCTTCTCCCAGGACAATAAATAAGAGAGATGTGTCATCAGTCTTTCTTTCCCCTGGCTGTGGCTAACGGATGCAGTTTGGCTGCCTGACCCTTTGTTGAAGAGCGAGGGCGTGACCTCTGAATCCCTCTCCACACAGAGTCAACACCGTCACGGGTTGACCTGTGAGATGAGCACGTTTTCCATCCGGATCTGGTCCAGCTTTCTCACCTGTGAGATGAAGAAAGTGAAGTCCCGAGGGGAGCAGGGGGTTTCCCAGGCGACACGGTGAACTGCGCAAGCTGAGACCTTCACCAGCTGACTGTCTTTACACCAGGTTGCCTGTTCACTGCCTCTTCTCCTTGTTACAGCTCCTACAGGATTTCTGCATCCCCAGCACAGCACACAGATGCAGCGCTGTGAGCCCACGGGAGCTCGGGCACCTTCAAATCCAGCAGGAAGTTCTCACAGTCAGCAAGGTCCTCCAAGTGGAGAAATCAGCACCCCATCTCCCAATCATGGTAAAACTAAACCCATCTTTATCTTGGGGAACAGCCTATTCTCCCTGATATGGCTGAACAGGGCAGGCCCTGGCGGCTCTCTCATCAGCAGTGAGCTTTGCTGAAACTCTTCAGGCCTCCAACCTGTGCTGCCTGGCGCTGCTTCCACCTCAAGGTTGCCCGGGTACAGCCTGGGGCGCTAGAAGGTGTGCGGACGAGTTCCAGATGCATTAGCACTTCTTCCTCTTCCTTTTAGTGCAGCTGTTTGTACAGCTTCCCAAAGGGAAAACTTGAAAGGGCCTGTTAATAACCTTGTTCAGCGCTCAGCTCCGGAGGAGAAAGGAAACCTTTCTGCAAATTCAGCATGGAGGCGTTATTTGGCAAGACAAAGATCTCAGGTGGCCTTGCTGGGGCTATTTGGGAATTAACCCTTTGGTCCCTGAAGGTGATGGAATGTGTCAGAGAGAAAGGAGAAGTAGGAGGAGGAGGGCGAGAAAGAAGAGGAACTGGAGAGGGAATCAGGGAGAGGGATTCCCTTCTGCATCATCTATTCCCCTCCAGAAACAAGCTCTTGGGTGCTTGGCTTCCCTGGAGCCGTCATCCCTCATGCCGTTATGATAACCACCAGCCACATGTGGCTGTTTAAGTTTGAATTTATGTTCATCAAAATAAATAAAATCGACAATTCAGTTCTCCAACCATATTTCATGTGCTCAGTAGCCACATGTGGCTGGTGACTCTAGACCGGACGTGACCGCCATCCCGGGAGCTCACTGGACAGCACTGGTCTAGAGAGTGTAAATCACTTACCCATGTCTAATCAGCAGACAGGAAAGAGACTGGCTGACATCCGAAGCTGCGAATTAGGACTTTCCTGCCTTGGTTTCCACCCTGAAGAAGTAAGCGAGAGATAGAGACAGAGAGAGAGAACAAAATGCCTATTACATTGCTTTGTTAGTGTGATGACCATATGCTTTGTTAGTGTCATTTTGGCTATATTTATGCAGAATTTACAAAAGTTCTGTATTTAGTTCTCTTGCCCAGTGTAAAAAAAGATGAAGAAAGCAAATAGCAGGTGGGGGCTGGTGGGCGCAGGACTGGACCGGGGAGGTGATGCGCTACTTGAGAGGTGACACTTGTATCTATGGGATCAGAAGGTGGCAGGAAGGAAGTATCACCAAGAGGGGACTTTGGGGCGCAGTGTAGAGTAGTCCTAAGGAGGAAGCCTGAAAACATCTCTGTGCTGCAGTGAGCAGAGGCATTTGTGTCCAAGATGGCACTGCTGCCATTTGTGGAGTCATATTAAACACTCCTATGTTCTGAAGTCTTGTGTCCCACCCCAAAATTCATAGGTTGAGCTTCTAAGCCCACTATGACGATGTTAGGAGGTGGGTCCTTTAAGAGGTGATTGGGTCATGAGGGTGGAGGTCCCATGAAAGGGTTAGTGCCCTTGAGGCCCCAGAGAGCTTCCTCGACCCCACCCCCACAGGGAGAAGTTGACACTCTGCAGTGGAAGAGATTGTTCACCAGGACCAGACCGTGCGGCTGCCTTGATCTGTGATTTCCAGCCTCCAGAACTGTGAGTAAAACGTGGCTGTTGTTTATAAGCTACTGAGTCTGGGGTGTTTTGTTATCACAGCCTGGATGGGGTAAGACAGTGCCCTCCGTTTTGGAGTGAAAGAGGAGGTACGCAGTGGTTTACATGTGTGCACAGAGTTGCTATTGAAATCACAGTGTTTTTCCAAGGCGTCTTCTTTCTTATCTGACTAGTGGAACACTGAGCATCTCTCTCTGCTCACAGAGCCCGTGTTGCATCTGTTCCTGCCGTCTCTAGAACAGCCTGCTTGGCGCGTTGGGGTCAGGTATTGTAGCTTGTCAATAAATGTGCTCAGAGGTGGTTCCTGAATTTGCAAGACAACCTGTTGTAAAGGAAGAGCAGGTGGGGAATTATCTTAAGGGTGTGTTTCCATGGCAAGTGTCTTGTGTTCTTTTTAAATATTAGATAGTATTTCATTGAGGATGATTTTGCGCAGAGAGCTGATGAGATTTAGGTGGGGTAAAGAGATCTAAACCCAGGTCCCTGCAGAGCCAATTTTGGCACTAAAACTCTGTGGGCACGTGACACTTAGCACATTGCCTAGCATAGAGCTAGTGCAGTGACAAAAATATCGGTAATGAGGATTAACCTAGAAGGAGAGATAAAAAGAAATTCACATAGGTGAACAAGTTCTTCTCTGAATCCTCACAAATCAAAATTCTATTTGATTTTACGTACACATCTGATGCTGATGATAGAACGATGCAGACAATCCACAAGCAAATAGAAGCAGGTCCCACGGGTATTGATGGCGATCACAGAGGATGTTGCATGTCTATAAATACACCCCTTTCAGTAAATCCCTGCAAGGAAAAGAGAAGCATGGGGATTTTGCTACGAATTCCATCTCAACATCAGATAATTTTTATCTAATACATACAAACAAAAGCCATCCTTTGTGGGTTTCCAAACTGACATCTCCAAGAAATGGGATACTTGAGTAAATTTGATGAAGAACAAAGACATTCTTAATGTTTAAGCAGACAGAGAGTAGTGGAAAGAGAGAGAGAAAGAAATTCAAACTTAACTGGGAGTTCAATTTAAGGTATTGTTATATTGAAGTTGTTCTAAGGAAATTGAAAAGACTGCATTCAGAAATGAAAGGTAATTGTACAGGGTACACAGTAAGTAAATCTTAAGAAATTAATCTATTTCTGAGACTCGTCAGCACGCCATGGATCAGGGTGTTTTCTGTCTTCTAGATTCTCTACCCCTTTCAAGATTTCGTCTTCAAGTCATGTCTTACTATCTAGAAAGTGGTGTTCAATTAGTTTTGTCACGGGATACAATTTTCTTTATTTTCCTCTTTCCTTCCTTGTGGCATCTTTGCTTGCCTCCTGGCTACCTTTCTTTCTCACTCTGTCAGGAATCAAACAGATATTCTACACATGGAAGATGGCTTCCTTCGCTCACCAAGTGTTTGCTCACCAAGTGTCTGCTATGTGCCAGACACTAGTACGGGTATGGAGACTCTCTCTTAAGTGAGAGGGCCTCCGGGGTACAGGGAACTCACAGGTGATGCGGCTAGTGGTGGGCATGTGGGGAAAAAATGATAGACACCTTCGAGAAGGAACCAGAGAGTGCTGTGGGGTAAAGAGTGGGGATTATATGACTGACTCTGGGTGGAGTGGACAAGAACAAAAAATGACACCACAGAGTAGAGACTGTCCCAGCCAAGCTCCCAGCAGGGGTCAAGGATTGCTGAACAAGTTTGGAAAGACAGATTCCAATCGCATATAATTGCCATAATCCCTTTCATGAAAAGAATTCCCAGACCACTTCCCACAAAACATCCTCACCCCAAACTTCCAGTGGAGCTAATGATAATTATGCATCTCCCCCTTTAAATGTCTCTTTGGAAACACTTGACTGGAGATGATTAGGAGAGGGTTAATGGAAAAATAGAAGTCAGCCCATGCTAAATTCTGAGAAGTCAGAGGATGGAGGGAGAGGATCCCTTAAATCTAATTTAAATTAAAAAGATGTTTGTGAAACCAAAAATAAATCTTGCTCCAGAGTGATTACCAGATGAAACATTTTAGTTAGTGGATGGTGAACTGCCCCATATTTCACGTTCCCAGTCAATGTTCTCTCTTTGCTTTACCTGAAGGGCCTGAGTGCTGAGCTGATGAATGTTTTGTAGGCTTAAAAGACCATTCATCACCACCACAGCTAATGCCATTTTCTGAAACCTAATCCAAAGGCACTTTATGAAAAGTGCTCTCTGCCTGGAAGTGTCCTCACCATCATCTTCAAGACGGCTGGTGGGGACAGCCTGGCTCTTCGCTGCCTGATGACTGTGTGGCGGGATGGGCATCTCCTCCTCCACTCCTTTGCCAAGTCTCCCTGTCTCCTTCCTCCTCTCTTGGAATCTGCCTCCTCTCCCCAGTAGGGATGGGGCTCAGAGAATTCTGCCATGATCTGTGTTCATGAGAAACTAGTGTCTTGGAAGTTCTCTGCCCTCCCTGGAAAGCTCCTTTCAGAAGCACAGGTGGAAGGGCAGAGTGAGTGAGTGAAAATGCCCCTTAGTGCAGTGGTGACAGGAGAGAGAGAGAGCAAAAGAAGGGGCAGGAGGATGAGGGAATTTGTGGGCATCTGTGTGGGGCTCAGGAGAGGCTGGACAGTGGGCCATAAACAGACTTGCATCATCCCGAGCAGCCTCCTTGTCAGATGAGGTTGATTCATTTCTATTTATAGAATCATTAAGAGATTTCAGTGGAATGGCTACATTTTTTAGTATCCTTAGGTAGGAAAGAATTTTATCACAGTGACAAAGCCTACATGTATAAATGAAGATAATCAACAGAACCTATATCATCTGAATTGTTGAATTGACTCATACTGCCTAACTATCTAAGTTTTAATTTTTAATTTTTTTAATATTTTGTTTTATGTAATTCTTATATCATTTTTCATTTTTGCACAATGTATGCATTTTTATTTTGGTTCTATTCCCCATAAAATTGCACCCCCCCTTATTTTGACCCTAATCCTTCCTCTCCCTGCTCCCCACCCCCCGTAGTGTGTCTCTAGTTTATAGTTGCTTGTTGATTTTGATTTTCACTTTGTACATATACACAATGGAATATTACTCAGCAATCAAGAAAGATAAACACATGCAGTTTGCAGCAACGTGGACGGAGCTAGAAGGGAATCATGCTCAGTGAAATAAGTCAGAAAGAAAAAGAAAAAGAAAAGAAAAAAAAAGAAAAATACCAAGTTTTATTTTTTAATAAAATGTCTTCAACATAAGTAAAGTCTATAGAATATGGCAGAGCTTCTATATTCTTACTACCCACATTTGTCAAGTTATTACTATATTTGCCTTAGTTATTCCTTCTTTTCTTTAAGAAATAAAATACTGCACCTAGGCCCTCCACCTGCCTTCCGTTCCTATATATTCCCCCAAGTGAAAAGGAAGTTATAGTCTCACAAATACCATCACATGAATGTTTAGGATTTTATTTACAATCACCCAAATCTGGAAAGAATCCAGATACTTTACAATGGATGAATGGATAGCAAACTGTGGCATATCCATTCAATGGAATACTATTTAGCAAGGAATATCAATAAACTACACATACACTCAATAACACAAGTGAATCTCAAATGAATTATTTAGTGAGGAAAACCATATTCAAAAACCCATGTACTGCATGGTTCTATCTTTATGACATTATGCCTGTTACAGTCAGAAAACCAAACAATGTTTGGCAAAAACTGGGGGTGGGGAAAAGGGTTGGTTACAAAGGGACATGAAGAAATTTGGGGGTGAGGAATCTGTTCTATATCTTGATTTTGGTGGTGGCCACTGGGCCGTGTTTCTCAAACTGTAGAACTGTATTCCATAATGATTTCTATTATATGCAATTTATGTTTCAATATAAAAAAGAGTAGATTCTGCTTGTATACGAGGGATATTGTGTGTGTGCATGTGATCAGACATTGGGAAGTAATAGAATGAAAGTGCATGTTTTCTGAGAATATGGAATGGGAAATCCACTAATATGGAGCTGAGGTTCCTCTAGATGTGGGGTTGAGGGTGTGCCATGTAAACTTTCTTTAGATAAGTGATGTTTGAGTCAGTATTTCTTCTAAATAGCAATTCCCAAGCCAAATGTCTATGTTCTGGGAACTAAGTACTAATTGCAACAGCAACGCCTTTGAGCCAAATGCTCCGTCCATGCCACATAATGAGCAAGAGGATTAACATACTTAACTCACAATCCTTATGGTTCCACAATAAAAGTATTCCATGTTATTTTACTAACAGACAAAAACAGATAAGTAAATCACTTGCCCAAGGTCACAGAACTAATAAATCTTCAGAGGAACTTCCTCTGGTCAAAGACTCCCCCACTGATAAGATCTTAGTAACCCCAGGGGACCAATGCCACCATCATCAATTAATGCAGACACCTCAGAGAGGTCGCTCTCCTGAGGAGTGAGCCTCTAGCAGGACCATTTGCCTCTTTGGAGTCTCGCTGCGGGATCAGTGTCCTTCGGTGCGCTCAGCTGTGTCCTCTCTATGGTGACCCCAGGGTGCCTTTCCAGTCAGTTGACTCTGACATGTCTTGTCTTACTCATGGCCACGTCCCCCAGGCAGCGCCATTTCTTTAAACATCTCCCCATAGTTCTTTTGATTTTTTTTTTAAAGGGGGAAAAAAAAAAACTTCAGTAATCAGATTTTCTCAAATTTCCCACTTGATGATCTTGATTGGGTCAAACACTTGAAAATTATGTTAAGAGGCTCAGCTCAAAGTGAGCCAAATTGAGTTGGAGCTAATTCCATGTAACTTCTGGGCCCCAATGCTAAATGCAAAGTTGTCTGGTGGCAGCCGAGTAGGGGGAAAATGAGAGCCTTTCCCATCCTCATGAGAAACGGAGTGTTGGGTGGACTTAATCTCAGAGACTAGGGAGTTTTTGATTTATTAAATGAGACATCAGTGAAAAGAAACAGACAAAGAAAGTCTACCCTATTATTCAATGTAAAATTACATAAAAAGCAGGAAGTAAATCCATGTTCTAAGAAGAGAGTTGGACGACACAGTGATAAGAGGAGAAAAGAGTAAAAATACAAAATATAGCTGATGGTGGGAGGAGGCACTAGGAAAGTGCCCCATACAGCAGAATGGGTGGGCTTGAGACAGAAAGGAGCACGTCTACTCCTTTGGATGTATGAAATGGAATGGAAACCCAGCTGACGTCGCTTTTCAATGTTAAGTTATGAAAATTTGCAAATGCACAGGAAGGCTGAAAGATGGGGAGATGCACGTGCCTCCCCCCAAATCCACAGTAGTTGATGGTTGTCCCAAGGTGCTTCCTGCAGCCCCATCCTCCGCGGACGCCATGAGTGTTCTTTGCTGACACAGTTGAAAGTGCGTTGCAGACATCATAACACTTGGTTTCTAAATTCTTCAGCATACATCTAAAAATCAGGACATTCTTGTACATAACTTAAATAGGCTTTTAAAGTCATGGTCCATAAATCTTTCAGATCATAAAACTAAAGGAAAAATATTCATTTCACTGTCTGTGAATTGTCTTTGGTCTAGAATGACTTTGGGCAAAATACATTTTGACTTTGGCTTTGTCATCTCCCTGGGTCTATTCAGTGTGTGTGATTTATTCCATCGATGAGACAGAATGGCAAGTCTGAGTTGCCCCCTCCCTGAAGGAACTGGAAATAAGATCGCCCTCTGGGGGTTGCAATATGACATCAGTACATAAAAAATTAGAGCGTGGAATGTAATGTTGATGGAATGAAATGGAATGGCGGTGTGGCTGCAAGCCTGGGCTGGAATAAATGAGTGAGGATGAAGTCTATGTGTTAAGAGAGGTTGGCGATAAGGGTGACAGATGCAAGTGTTAGTGTCCAGCCAGGCCCTGTGCCCGGATGCTAGCAAAGCAACCTCAGGTCCTGCCCATCCGGACACATTTAACCTCAGTATGACCATCAGTCTGATGACAGATGTACCTGGAGATCACAGAACGGTGACAATGATCAAGTCTTGTACGAAAACAAAAGAAAAGAAAATCTCCACTTGCCCTGGTCATTTGCCAAGCAACTTTTGGGAAGTGCTTGACCTCCCCTATGGCTGCCTTGGTCAGACTGAGATAATTATCCCAAATACTTGGCAGTCACAGTCATCCTGTTCAATTCATAGACTGGCCTCTGGCGTTACCACCAACACACTTCAATTATTGGTGAATTTGCTCACTCCTTCAACAGAGAAGGCCCTACTATGTGTGTGCTATTTTGATGAATCATCACTGATCTATAAAACGAACATCTTCCAAGGTTCAGTATTATTCTAAGTAGCTTACATGGAATTGCTTCATTTCATCATGTCATCCCTCCAAACATTTTGACAATCTGGAAATTGAGCTGCAGAGAGTTAGAATGAGAATTTGAATTCAGCCTGAATCTAGACCTGTGTCTGAATGAACCTTCCTCGAGCTCTAACAATAAAGAACTTCAGAGTTTTTGGGCTGGAAACTCCCTCCCTGGACTGTGGCCAGAGCAAATTCCACCAAAGCAAATTTCTCATGGGCAGAGCCTGTTCAGGCAGGGAGAAGGGTGATCTCCTTAATCTAACGGGTATTGACCTAAGCACTTGACTATGATCATGGATGCAAGATAATTAAGTGATCGTAGAAACATCTACAGTCAAGTAAAGAAAGCTTGAGAGCCCCCTGGCATGGGAACACCTTGCCAACAGCTCAAGGGATGCACACCCCATGTTTGAAATAAGCCTCCATCTTGTAGAGTGTGATTTTATGATTTAGGTTTAGTCTCATTGTCTAAACTTGTATTGGATTTCTACTGTTGCATAACAAAGACCCAAAAACTTACCAGCTAAAACGAACCCTCATCTCACATCTCACAGTTCAGCTCGGACCAGGTGCTGCTCACCTGGGCTCTCCAGCCCCTGGTCTAGCTCTGGTCCCCTCCTAGTTCTCTGCCAGTGTCCCTTCCCTGTGACCATAGGACCCTCCCCCTCCTGCTCCACTGGCAGCTCACAGCAGAGCTGTTTGCTTCTTCCTGAACAACTACAGAGGACATCTTTCTGATGCTACAATTTGTTTGAAGGGCTCAACTGATTAAGCCAGACCCACCCAGTAAAATTTCCCTCATTATGACCTCAGTCAACAGAGTCACAAGCCAGTTACAGAGCTGCTAACTCAGTAGAGTCACAGATCTTGCCCACACTCAGGCTGAGCAGAACATTACAAGGGTGCTGGACTTTGAAGGGTGGGGCCTGAGGGGGTCATTTTCGGATTCTGTACCCTACAACTTAATGCTGCTAGTACCTGCTTCTTCCCTCTGTGCACCCAACCCACTCCAGCTAAAACCCTTATCTGAACATACTCTGTGAGACCTTCCAAGACCTCCCTCATCACAAGACCTGCCTGGTGCCACCAGGTCCATCTTTCCAGCTCGGCCTCCATCAGTGGAGCCCCATCACTCAGGACACTCACCACCTCGCCACACTCCCCACCCTGCCAAACTGCCTCCCCCTTGCTTCTACTGGTTATTTTTACTGTTTATATCATTGTGGGTTTGTTGTTGTTTTGGATAGAAAATATTTAACAGACTTGACCCTCTCGGGGTCAGTTTAGACTTTGTACTTGATTCAAGATATAGCTGAATTCCAAGAGGGAGGGGCTGCCAGAATATATTCGAGTAACACTTCAACATTTAGGTATCGACCCATCGGCATGAATTGTCTACCATGTCGGCATATTCAGCACCCTTGGATGGTCCAAAGGACTCTGACATGGAAAGAAAAGGAACCTCACATTTTAAGTTATATAAGAAGAGCCAAGCTCATTAGCCGTTCTGAGAACCTGGCTGCATCAGCAGCGCTTAGAGGCTGGGAAGTGAGTTATTAGTGGTGTTCCCTCCAGGAAGGAGCCAGCGCAGGACTCCCAGAGGTGGCTTAACTTTCCCCAACCTACTTCGAAATTAGATTTACTCGGTTACAAATGGTACGTGTTAAATGAGCAAGACTATTAAACAAGGAGGGCTTGCTGCGCTAAATAGCTGAGCATTTAACAGTGTGCCCCGGCATTACCATTTTTATGGTCTATTAAGACCATCGGAAGAATATCAGTGGAATGGAGAATCAGGTAATGGATGTACATGTCCTGTAAATTACTGCTCGTCTGCATAAGAAGAAAAGTCCCCTTCTCATCTAGTAAAATGTGAGACAGGACTTGAGGGAAGTCAGTGTGTATTAGGCACAGGGTGGGGGGGTCGCTAATGACCCTGAACACAGGATTTCTCACCCACCCCCCACCTTCTAAAGCTGATACTTCAGAGAATGAACAGATTCTGGGTCCTGGCTTCGGGTATTTTTTTCTCCTGATCTATTTTCAATCAGATTGAGGAAGACGGAGGCCATCATTACGCGTCAGGAGAACCATTTTCTAAGTCGCTGCCTTAACTTCTGCAGTTTGAAACCGAAGGAAGGCAGGCCCCCTGAGTGGCTCGGTCTCCTGCTATCCCCTAATGACGCTTGCAGAGTCAGCTTCACCTTTGGCTGATTTTCCCCTGAATTGAAAAATGCAGGGAGAGAAGTCAGGGGCGTCTGTTTTAGCAAGCAGCCGTGCCGGTCTGGGAGTTGAAAAGCTAAATAAAAGGGGAGGAGTTGGAAGCAACCCCCACACACCAAAAATGGCACGTCATTTTGAAACACCTGACTTTGTTAGTTGTGCTAGGAGTGAAATCGCCCTCCAGGTGGGAGAACAGCTTTTCACAAATGGCTGCTTTGTCACAACGGGGGACATGTGGAGGATGTCGCTGCATTGCTTTGCCGGATCCCAGGGTCCCCAAGAAGCCGTATTTCGCCCAGTAGCTTCGGGGATTTCACGTGGAGGGGGTAAATGGTCCCAGAAACATCCAGAAAGGCGGGCTCGGTGCACACCCGGGGCATCCCGCCCGGAGAATGGCGCTGTCGGGATTTACAGGGAGAAAGAGATGAGGTAAGGGGAGCACCAAGATCCCCAAACAAATAAAGCAGCCTCTCAGAAAAAGGGAAAACCAGGATTTCTACAGATCTGCAAATTTGGGGAAAAAATGTTTCTGTGGTGCTGCCTGTGGCTTGAACAGATGCTGGAAACATAAAAACAATAGACATCAGCAAGGAACAGGCCCATTCTTTACAGCTCGGCAGTCGGCCCCTTGGCGAGGCTCGCCAAGGCGCTCTGTCATCAACCGTCTGTCCTGAGCTGCCCATGGAGGGGTCAGCTGGGTCCGCAGCTCTGGCCTGCGGCACACCCAAATGCTCTATTCCAGTCCCCAGCGCTCAGGGCTGTTCCCCCACAGAGTGTTCCTTTGTCTCTGCAAGACCTGGGTCGGTGACGCCACAGGGATTGGGCGGGTATGGCTGCCCAGGTGATTGCTGATGAGCAGGAGCTTCAAAGATTTAAATAAATCGAGGGCTCTCTATTTATTAAGCTCATGGGCTGCACCAACAACCCTGCTGAAACTGACCTGTCTTCACTTTACTAGGTGTGCGTTGGCTGGAGCTTTATGCATGGACCAGGTCACTCCAGCCTCAGGTCATTTCTTCCGAGAAACTCACAAGGTAGATACGTTTATCATCTCTAGTCTTCAGATGTGAAAACGAAGGCTTAAGGGTGGAGGCGCTGCCCGGGTGCAGGTGCTGGGAGCTGTGGAGTCAGATGACACACCTATGCCGGCTGGAGACTGAGCCTCCTGGGAGAGTCAGGACACCTGAGTGCACTAGTAAGGGCGGCCTCCCCGGGGACACCATCATGTTCAAATAGAGTCTCAGTCCCTCCCATTGTCGCTGGGCAGGGTGTGGAAATTATTTAACCCCTCAAGCCTCAGTTTCCAATCTGCAAGGTGAGGATGGGGAACAGGAGGGTCTCATGGGGTAGGAGAGAAATAACGATGTGTGTGTTTCACGCGTGACCCGGCGTCTGCTCAGGGGCACCACACATAGTTGTCGCCACCATCCTGGTACTCGCTACCACTCCCACATTGTGCATTATTTTCCTCTGTTGCTCCCTCATTACAGCTTATCATTGTTACTTTGAGAGGGATGTGTGTGTGTGTGTGTGTGTGTGTGTGTGTGTGTTTTGGTAAATGTTCACAGTGGTGCTGCTATCACCACCGCCATCTAGATTAGCTCTAATCCAGGGTTAGAACATTCCATCCCCCACACAAGCTCCCTTGTCAATCCCCCAGTCTACTCCCAGCCCTGGGCGACCACTAGCCTGCTTTCTGTTTCCACCAATTTGTTCTTCTAGAAATTTCTATATTGATCCATGTTTCCCTCCATCCCTGGTCCATCCAGATCAAGCACCTGACCTGTTTGTTCGACACGCAAATTCCCAGGCTCACCGCACAAACCTTAGGCCCAGGGCATCTCTGCATGAATAGGCTACGCAGGGCCTTCCTGGAACAAGCGAGGACCCCCACCTGCAAATTCCAGGGTGGCCAGGTTGGCCCTGGCAGTGCTGAGTCAGATGGCAGCTCACAGCTCACAGGGCTGACCAGAAAGGGGGGTGCTGGGTTCCCCGGAGAGCTGATCTAGATGACGGTCGCAGTCACTGCTCTCCTGGAACACGTCCCTTATCCCTCAGCCTGGCAGCTCCTTCGTCGGGAGCCTCCCTGGGGCTCTGAGGACAGACCTTTCACAGCTCTCATTAATTCTTTCTCCCCGGAGAGGCCGTAGCCCTGCCACGCACAAGACTGACTCTCCCTGGGCGACACCCAGAGACCAGAGCCTCTACTCAGCAGCTCCTGAAGGATTTGCAAAACACCCTGGCAGATCACTGTCTGTGCAGCTCCTGCTGAGGCCGCAGCACGTCCTGGCCGGATAAAGTGGTCCTGCCAGAGCCAGAGGGATACATGTCCTTTGTGACCTGCCCAGTGGGACTGAACCCTCTGTGGCCTTGGGTGTTACTCTGGTGGGAGGCACTTGCATCCGGCTGTCTGGAAGGGCAGAGGGTACGGGCCCAGCTTCCTCTGGGTCTGGCTGCAAACACAAATTTCTGCAGAGCTCAGGCACGGAGACCAGTGAGCTGGAAGGCAATGGCTGCGCATGTCCTACCGGCATGAGCACTGTCCAGGTGACCACTGTCCCGTGAGGACTAAAATCCCCGGGGGCTAGAGCTTCAGATTTCTTAAGACAGGCTGCAAATCAGATTTGTGTGTCAGTATTTTACCATTGGCAATTTTTGTTTTTTATAGTATAAAGTACATAAAGCATCAGTGGGTGGTGCTCTGCCAGGGCGGGTCCTCTAGAATCACCCTTGCACAGAGGGGTCCTCCCTTCCCTGCAAGGCTGGGACTGAGTCACAGGAGAAGGGGAAAGTGATGACTTCACAATGACCCCCCCTAGCACCTGTATCTACCACACTATTAATTGACCAGGTCACAAGGTATTTATGTGAGTCAGTACCCTCATCTGAGAGACAGGAATAGCAACGCCTGCTTGTCATGGATCCTGGGGAAGCAGATGAAGTAGGGCATGTCCGCTCACCGCTGCCTCGCCTGCTCCCACACTAATTCACCAAGCTTTGCTGACTCAGCCATGAACGGAGCTCAGTTTTTAAAACAAGGCTACAGATGTTTAACCTGGTATCTTTTGTGGACATCCAGTGAGAAAAGACAGGAGGTAGAGCAAGTTGACACCATTATGAAACAATGCTGTGGGATCTTTCATCTTAAAAAGTGGATAGAAATTTCTGGGAAGAATGTTCCTCTCCTAAAATTTGATGCAAAAATGAAATACAATCAGAAGCAAAAGGGACCATCTTCTGGCATCCAAGCAAGGTAAAACCATGACCCATGCCTAAGAGACACCTTACCCTCCTCCTGGTCTGGTGAATTCTTGACCGGGCCGTGGCCTCTGAGAAGCTGTCACAGTTCTCTCAGCACCTGCGGGAGGACACACTGAGTGTCTGCACTTCGCTTTCTGCTGTTTTGATGGAGAAATGCAGTAAGAGTTTCTGGGAGGAAGAAAGTGAAACAAAAGAAGCAGAACATGTTTGTGGCCTCTAATGAGCAAGGTAAGTTGAAAGATGAATGCAAGGCTGGCGGTGTCATCTCGGGGGGCAGGTGATCCATCTCGTGAGGAGGAGCCGGGCGTGTGCAGAGCCTGGGGTCTATACAGAGCATGGCCCCAACTGGGAAAGCACTTCCCCCTTTTGGGGAACGTATCTCCCCATCTATAACCTCAGACGGAAGGAGCAAGCAGGTGTAATATCAATACTCAGCCGTCTCCATGGTGGAAGGAACCCAGAACCACCTGTGTGTCACGGAAGAAAAGAGATATGCGTAGTCTGGTCAACCACGGGGAGGTGAAGAAAGAGCTGCAGTATGAAGCCAGGAGAAGAGGAGCAAGAGAGAGAGACTGAAGAAGGAGTAAATACACATGATGGGCAGGAATGAGCTCACCTGACAGCACATGTAAAATACTGCAGAAAAGGGGAGAAATACAGACATGATCAAGCACTGGCTCAACTTAAGCCCCACTTTATTTATTTGTTTATTTATTTAAATTTTATTTAAGCCCCATTTTAAATAATAGTAACCAAGGAGAAGATGAAATCACTGAAGAAAATATAAGAGACAGCATGTGCAAGGGAAAACATGAGGGACAGTGAACGTTGGGAATGATATTGCTGAGAGAGAAATATTTGATCTAAAAGAAAAGTTTGGTACAAACGGGGTAGAGGCAGGTAAAAATTCTAAAAAAAATTGAGGTCAGAGAAGATATTCATTGTGAGAAACAAATAAAAATGATTTAAAATAAGAAGAATGCTATTTAAAAAAAACACTTATGTAAATAGAATACTTACAGTCTTGGTATTTATGCAGACCAGCTCTCTAGAAACCTTTAATTATAAACTGCTCAAGATCCCATACCTGTCCTGCGGACTTCTAGTGAGTCTGAACCTCAAACGCGACGGTGAAGGAAATCAGATATGGAGGACTCTCATGTCCAGCATGCAGCAAATGTTTATTGTCTTAGTGCTCATTATATACTATTTTAATTGTAGCAGGTGTAACATCAAAGCATACCACATAATAATAACATGTATGAGTGATTAGTCTATTTTCTTACTATTATTTATTTACTTCAGACAGTAGGGTACCAGGTGGTTAGTTCTCACACACATAATCTTATCGCCTCCTAGCCAGAGCCTGGAAAGTTCGCTCATTATTTTGTTGTTGTCAAACTGTGGAGATGTATGTAGTTCACTTCCAGCCTCTCAACACCAAGTCCTGTCACCCAGAGGTTTTCCTCCGAGACGCATGTGTTTTCACATGCCTTAGGGACTCAGGTCAAGGCCCTTCTGCTCACTACACAGGGTGGCCGCCTCCAACACTGTGTTAACATACAGTTACTAGAAACACCTGGTTCTGTTTGGCCTGATCTGTGCCCACACTGTAATTTTGGATGTGCTTTCTTTTCTGAACATGTGAACTGTCCTATACAGAGAGAATTTATCATGTGACCTAAGTGATCATATGATCTGCACAATAAAAAAAATAATGTAAGGAGGACTGTCTGTGAAGGAGAGAACTCAATGGATGGAAAAGAAGGAAAAGTCTTTAAAGATATCATAAAAGAAAAACTCTGAAATGAAAAAACAAAACAAATCTGAATCCATACTATTAAGGGACAAAACATCTCTCATGAGAACGTGATGCAGAACGATCTCTTTGAGACGGGTTTTTCCTCTCGAATGCTTTTGATTTGCCTCTAGTTTACAAAGCTATGTAATTTAGGGAGTGCACTTGGTACTTCCAAATTGTGAGATGCCTCATTCCCTCCCCACCAAAGCTGCAGGGCCAATACCTTAACTTCTTCCCTCTCCACCCATCTCTTCTCGGCCTCCCTCCCTGGAGAGTCATCAGTATATTTTTCACAGTCTAAGAATTATTGTTTTGACAGTCTTTTTTATTTATTTTTTTGTTCTGCAAGTGAGTGATACCATCCTGTGCTTTATCTTAGTTCACTTGACAAAATCATTTTAAGATCTAGACATTTTGTCCAAGTTATTGTTTCATATTTTAAAGGCTGTGTAGTATTCCATCGAGCGTATATTTCATAATTTCTTTATCCAGTCATCTATTGATGGGTCACCTTTTACTGTGACCTGGCCATCAAGAATCCAGCCTCTGTAAACATAGGAATGTCTTATCTCATTGTAATAACGTTTTCATATTCTTCGGATAAATACCTAGAGGCAAAATGCCTACTTTGTTTATATCACTGAACATTAAAGATTTGGGAAATGATGTTTTCCCTATTCTTTAAGAAGAAAATCATCAAAAAAGAGTGAAATTCTAACTGGTCTTAGATTTTTCCAAACCATATTTAATGCTATAAGAAAATAGAATAATAGAGAGATAAATGTGATTCAGTTATAATCCCAGCCAAGGAATTAGTTTGTTCTAAAGACAACACGCAGTGAATCGCCATAAAAACCTCAAGGAACCCAGCTCTTTGGAAAATTAGGCCTCATTATAAAAACTGGGGTTCATCAACATCACCTAGAAACAAAGGCTGAGTATTGCATCCCTCCCTGTAAAGCTCTTGAATCATAATCTGCATTTTTTTTTAATTTTTTTTTTAAGATTTATTTTTATTTATTTATTTTATTTTATTTATACAAGCACTGGGTACAGTCAGAAGTGCAGGAGGGTGAGAGAATTCACCAGAGCCAGAGCGGGGAGCAGAGCAGGCAAAAGGACCGAAGTACACTGCTGAGGGGAGCAGTGGGCGGCAGGAGAGGTCTGCGCGCCATGTGGGACCCTCCTCCTGTGGCCAGGGAGCAGCCGGGGATTGAACCGGCATTGCAGAGGCTGCGGGCAGCTTCGCAACCCAGCGCTCAACTGCTGCGCCACCGGGGAGGCCCCCCATAATCTGCATTTTAACAAGCTCCCCAAATGATTCACTCACATATAAGTGTTTGATATCACTTATGGGAGAAGTCAAAGAATTCAGGAATAAAGAAACTGTGGTCCAAAGAGCTGAACATTATCTCTAGTTCAATATAGTTCTAATAGTTGGCAATTATGAAAATCATGATTACAGAACAAATGCAAATGTCATCATCCTTACCGATGCCAAAATTAATAATAATTTCACAAAATTTTTGAAGTTGTTGAGAAATGAGTTTGGGAGAAATTTGTGTTAAGAACTTCATCTTTCTTAGCAGAGAACCAAATGATATCATCTGAAAAGTTAAAGTAGCTTAAAACACAATAATGAATCCAATTTCTTAATGTTTTGTAACATCTTTTTTCTTTGCATTAGAACCTTTTAGGAAATTATATCATCTGCAAGGGAAAAACATTATTTGAATCTCAACTATGCCATCAAATTCACTGTAAGCTTACTTTTCTATTTTTAACTCCAAGTACTATTAAATGTGATGCTAGGGATAAAAAAAAAGTTGCATGTTAGGTAAAAGTATTTATCTTTTCTTGACTTTGTTCTTAGGCACAAAACAACATGTACTGTGATAGTGACTTAATATTAATGATGGTTCTTTAGGATGGTAATATATGGGTGAATTGCACCAGTCTTCTTTTTATTTATTTATGCATACAAGAGCTGGGGTACAGGCCAGAGGTGTGGGGGGGGGTGAAAGGATTCACCAGAGACAGAGTGGGGAGCAGAACAGGCAGACTGACTGAAACACGCTGCTGAGGGGAGCAGCGGGCAAGACAGGAGAGGTCTGCTGCGCCATGTGTGTAGCTCCCTGGCTGGTGGGGATGGAAATCATGCTGCAGAGGCTGTGGACAGCTTCATGGGTTGTGTGTCAACCCTTGCGCCACCAGGGAGGTCCCCTGCACCAGTCTTCTTTTGGTTGATATTACTCAGCATATTTATAATGAACATGTACTTCTTTTATGAAAATAATAAAGTGATAAATAACCTTAAGGGAGAGGCAGGGGGAAATATCCTATTTCTGCTACTGTGTGCTGCTTCCTTTTCTGGAACCGACTCTAAACCTTCTCTTAAGTTTCCAGTGATCACACTTCATCCCTTCTCTTGACACCCTGTCTCCTGAAGCCTCATTCAACTCCAACATCCCAGAGGTAGGGATCCGACTGGTCTTCATTCACGATGTACAGGTCCTTTGTTTTCGCCCTATGAGATGTCCCGGTGCCCTTCATACCTGTGTGCTAAATGAGCGACTGAATCCTACTTCCTCCATAAAGCCTTCATGATAAACCAAGTCTCTTTTAAACATTTGACCATGGTTGAGCTGGTTGCCTTGAATTTTAAGTAACTGAAGGACTGAAAACTCTGGTGACCTTTTCTCAGCAAGAACAGGATGTGGCTAATTGAGACTAATCCAGCCATCGAGGTGCTCAGCAGTTGTAAATCTGATCCTTGCGTTTGTATGAACATGACTTTTTCATGTTTGAATGTGGCTTAATTAAGCAAAATGTCTTATGTGAGGATTCAAATCCCCGTGTAGATTAAACAAGTCTATTTAGGATCCACGAAGACTTTGAAAGTTTTTCCTCATACTGTAGCACATCGCACTACATCCCTACCCCAGGGGAATAAAAGAAAAGTTCAGAGAGAGAGAGAGAATCACGGAAAATAAGAGCTGTGCAGGAGCTGGGAAACTATCAAGAACAACCTCCTATTTTGCCCACAAAATCGACTCACTGTCAAAGAAAAATAGGCCATGCAGAAGAAAGTGCCTGTTTCCTCCCTGTTCTGAAGTGGACCCCACAGCAGTTAGGGTGTTGTGGAAGCACAAGGATTGGAGCTGAGAAAAGCTCAGTCTGGGTCCTGGTTTTTTGTAACAACGCTTTGCAGATCATCGAGGTGAGCCTGCTTTTCTTTTGGGTCATCAGTTTCCACTTCGGAAATTAAAGAATCATTTTGGGTACATACTCATCAAGTTGAATTGTTTAAGACATGCAATACTTCACTAACAATAAAAGCGTAATGAATTTACTTAGGAACCAAACGCCTAAAGCCAAGGAAAGGGGAAAACTCTGGGCTGAGTCCTGGGCAGCGATGCTGACCCCATATCTCTTGCCCCTGCCATTTTCAGCCAAGTTGTCCTGGTAACATTGACTTTCCGAATGACTTCTGGGGAAACCTGAACATTTTAAGTACCTAATTATTATAAGAAAAACAATAAGAAACACGGATCCATGGCAGGCCCAGGTTATTTCTGGATGAAAGCATAAGTTGGAGAATCTTGACCCAGCACAAGTTTTGGCATAAAGTAGAAACAAGCCATCCCCAATAAAATGATTCTCCAGCAGCTCAAGGCAAGCGGGCCAACTTATCTGTTTAATAAAATTCATCGATGTTGCCCAGGGAGATGGCAATCAGAGAAGAATAATCCAGCTTGGCGTGTTGAGCCTGCACCCCGCAATGGAAGGAAGTTGAGGTGGAGCCGTGGCAAGTGAGATGGTGAGATTATAAAAAGAAGTGTCATCACAGAGCCAGAGGCCCTGGGTTCTAAAGTCTGTCAAGAAAGTATTTTATCTGCAGAATACTGCAGAATTTTGTTTAAGCTTCTCTACTCCTAATTTTATATCTCTGGTGATTAATAAGACTCTGAGTTTGCTAGATTCCCCCCAATAAGTAGTTTTATTTTGCTTTTCTTAGAATATCTAGGAGAAAATAGGAAAAAGTAGACATGAAAAATCATAAAACTATAAGGTTTTGGAGTAACAACTCTTGTTCTAAAATTTCTGATCCTCTTCGAGTTGGAAAGTGGAAAACAGTGAAGAAATGAGTCCCAGGTGCAGCCACTTTAATACTGGGACAGCTAGCCTTGTGACCTTGATGAAATAATGCTGGTCGATCTGAAATAACTTACTGCTAAAAGTAGGGCTACATTTCATTAAAAAATTAAATTCTAGTTTGGGAAACACACTGACATAGCAGTAGAAGTAAGTAACCATGGCAGGAAGCAACTCATATTTGGCAAGCATTGCTTTCGTGACTTGGAATGAGTGACCCTTGCTTGGGTTTGAATCCCAGCCAGGTAACTTAGCTCTGGGACCTCAAGCACTTTCTATAATCCCACACTGTCTTCTTTCCTTCTAGATGATGCACTGATAATAAAATCTACCCACAAAGGCAGCATGATAATAACATGTGTGAATCTCCTGGTACGGAACATGGTGATAATGGTGTGCAGTGAGGGGGAGGGTTGAGTTGTGTTTACTGGATTCAAGTTCTTGGATGCAAGTGACTCTTGACTTGAAGCATTTCAGAAGCATGACTATTGGTTATTTGGTTCTCCCTTAAAATTATCCCAGTATGAAGTACTTGACATGTTTGTTGGAGTCATTAATTAACCAAAAGAATATGCAGGTCCTCCCTAGAACTCGCCAGGAGCAAATTCTCCTGCTATAGAGTGTAGCATCATTTCTCCTTGTGGTTGTTGGGAAAAGTCAACCGAGAGTCGAGAGTCATTTGAAAGTCTTGAGCTACACTTCCTGGGGATGAATTGTGACAAAATATCCTAGCTGGTAACTACAGATGGTGCCTCTTCCACCATAAAGGTGTCTCATCTGTTTTTCTTGCCACTTCTTAGGCTATTTGCCACAATTAAGCACGACAGCAGAGTCCCACGGGCTGGTTTATGTTGTGTTTAAAAAGTTAATTAAATTGCCAAGTTGTTAAGTTGTTAAATTTAAAGTTAAAAAAAATCTATTAGCAAGTTTCCTCCTGATTAAAGTCAGGAGACCCGTGTGTTTGATTTTCAACTTGGTCCTCTCCAGCAATAAACATTAAAAATAAAACAATTCCATTTTATGACCAAGCCCTCTACAATGCCTTATGTGTGATGCATTAGGAGGAGGAGAGGCAGTTAAATGACAATTCATCTGTACACAAAACTTCCAAAGAACATGTTTCTCTTGACAGGGTGGGGTAGTGGGGTAGGGTGAGTTAGAACTAAACATCTGTCCAAAGTTATTGTATGCAATTTTCTCCTTTATAATCTGGTCTTGTGAGATCATGGACAGCAAACCTCCCCTCCTATTCTTAGGATGCTCCAGTGCCTGATAGGGCAGTAGCACGAGGGATAAAATCCATCCCTGGTTTTAGGAGGCAGTTTTGCCTAAGTTCCTGGCTTCACATGCAGGCTGCAGGAAGTTCCCATTTTTTCATGGGTTCCAAAAGGATGCTGTAAGTGATGTTTCATAGGACAGTAGAGACAGTTAGTGAAATAATAGTTGATGGTGACCATATGAAGACAGCTCTGTCAAGAGAGACTATGCAGGGCTCAGCAGAGAGTCCACCACCTGGGGTCCAAGTTCACTGTCAACACAATCAATGCTGTGAACTTGGACAAATGACTCAGCTTCTCTGACACAGGCTTTGGGTCCATCAAGTGGGTTCAGTCATAGTAAGCAAGGTGTAAGATTCATATGAAGATTGAATGAAAATTTATAATACTCTTAGAACAGCACTGGGCACAAAAAGTAGGTTGCTTAATAAATGATCACTGCTCTTCATCGTAGGTCAGAGAGAAAAGCCATCTGGACTTGTAGGTAGGTAGATCGATAGTTATATTTGATAGTAGTGTTTAATATACAGGAGCTAATTTAACCACCGATTTATTGAAAGCATTACGAGACTAAATTTGAATCTTAAGAGATCTGTTAATGGAACCGGCGTTACAAAAATAGAATCTACAAGTTGGAAGAGGTCTTAGAACTCATCAATTCCACCCTAACTGCTGCATGGATCTTCCCTGCCACCCGCTGACAGGCTGTCATTGGGAATGTGATGTGGAACTCTCACCTCTGACAGCCTGTGCCAGTGCTGGACGGCTCTAATTTTTGGCTCGCTCTTTCTTCTGTTGATCTAAAGTCTGTCTCCCTTCCATATCGGGTCACACAGAAGACTTTTGCTACATGATAACTCTTGAGAGACTTGAAGGCAACAGTCACCAGTCCCGAGGCATCTCTGTTCTGGCATAAAAAGCCTCCATTGGCAGTGAACACACACTCGAGATCCCCCTTTTGCAGACCCCTGGCTCTCTTAGAAGAGGCAACAACAAGCTCTTCAGCTCTCTCAAGCTTAGTCCTTTCCGTCTCATCTCCATGCGCTGTCATTGCCTGTTTATATTCATTTACCTCCCCAATGAACCGGTACCTGGATGCTTCTGGCTCATACATCCCTGCCTCCTGGTGGTACGTAATTACAGCTGGGAACCTGTTGGGTGGGTCCTCAAAAACTTAAAGATAGAATTGCCATGTGCTCCATTCCTGGGTACACACCCAAGGGAATCCGAAGCTAGTTCACAAGAGACATCTGCATATCCATGGTCATACATCGTTACTCTCACCACAGCCAAAGGGAAAGCAACCCACATTTTGAATTGGCAAATGAATGGATACACAAAACGTGGTGTCGGCGCACAACGGACCATTACTCAGCCTCAGAAAGGAAGGAAATTCTGTCACAGGCTATAATGTGGAGGAATCCTGAGGATGTGATGCTAAGTAAAGTGAACCAATCACCTAAAAAACAAACACCGTAACTCTGTGAGTATTCCAAGAGGGTAGTGAAATGCACAGAGACAGAAAGCAAAATGGTTACCAGGGACTTGGAGGAGTGAGAAATGGGAGTTGGGACTTAATGGGGACAGAGCTTCAGTTTTGCCCGAGGCAAAGAGTTCTGGAAATGGATGGTGGCGTTTGCACAATATTAAATGTGCTTTGTCCTGCAGAACAGGACACACCCACACGGTCAAGGTGGTCGATTTCATGTCTTGTGTATTTTTTCACAATTAAAAATATTTTAAGTGAAATAGTTACTGCTGAATGAATAACCATTCACTCACTCGCCACATTCCCTGCAGCCCCTGGCTGAGTGATAGAAGAATTTGATGAGGACGAGGTCATTTCTGGTGCCCCTCCGGCCATGCCATTTGGACATCTGCTTCCTTTGCATCCACTAGAGCCTATTTTAATGAGAACAAAGTTGCCGTGGTCAGATCCAAGAGGTCAGTGTAAACCCCACTGTTGCTTTGTGCACATTCTTTTTTTGAGAACCAAGCTGCACAGAGGCTCGACAATACCACAGGCTTGGAGAGAAATGCAGCCAACTTTACTACTGCAGTTAGAAGAGCTCAGCGCCGGGTGAATAGTTGACCCGATCTGTATGCTTCTCAATGCACCGAGAGTAATTCTCACCAAGAGAGCCAAGCTTCAATCTCAACTGCCAATAAGTCAGCCTGTCCTTCAGCAAGTCCTGCCATCTCACATTGAATTTCAGTCCCGCCATCAAAACAAGGGGTCGCCTGTGGCTCATCACTAAAAGAGCAGTAAAATGTGGATCTTTAAAAGAGCTGGAATTTGCAGGCAGGTAGAGAAGACTCTAGTTAAGTGCCAGCACTTGATAAACAGTACAGGTGATATCAATCAGCCCTTCTGCACCTCTGTTTGCCATCTTTAAAAGGGGGGTAGTAATAGAAATGACCATAGACGTGATTTAAAGACCAGAGAGGTCGCCATCAAAAACTCTCGCCCTGACAGGAAGAAGGCTAATTCAACCTGTTCTGATAATTCTCCCTGCTCTAGAAGGACAGTAATTCTGCCAGTAGATTAACTTCCCTGTTGGGTCAGGTCATTCTGGAGCTGGGCCAAAGATCTTCATTGATTGGCCAAAGGGGCACTGCCGTGAACATTAGGACAGACAGACCCTGGGGGACAGACTGCCTCTCCCTAAGCCACTCAATGTATTTCCAAAGCTGCACAAACACTCAGCAAACTCCCGAGATCCAAACATCACATGTGCACCCAAATTCAAGTTCTTACCCTCTTCCAAACCAGCATCCTCCGTGTACAACTCGGAGAAGACAGATTTCAAAAGGCAGGGGAAATTTGGTTATCCACCTTGCTAGCAGTTGCTTATTTGGTCCCCAGCCCACACACCCTGGACTCTCTTCTGTAGCTTTACGCTTTCTATCAAGGCTTGTTGGCTTAAACCAACACATCCCCTTCCAGACCAAAAGCTTATCTCACATGGCCGTCAAGACTCAAGGTCTTCAGCCCCTTTGCTGCCCTCCCCCCGTGCTACCCCATGAAATCTTAAGCCTCAAGATTCTCATCATGACATTTCCCAGGGCAAAGTCCTCTCCTCCTGAGACCTTGTTCCACGAAGACCACCTTTCATTTTCCATCTCACAGGATGCAGGCAACACGTGTCCTGAACACCACTGAGCTTCATGGAATCAAGCAGGTGTAATCCTTGGTGGAGGGTAGGAAGGGGACACCCCTCTCGCACCCCCAGGAGGGAACCTGCCAGGGGCCCATGACCAGTTGGGAGATATCAGGTGCCTGTTACAAGTGGGGAAATGCCAGGCGTCCCTCCAAGGTGGGCATCAGGCATCCTGCTCTGCTGGCTCTCTTACGCAACTTGATGCTCACCTTCATTTTTGTGAACAGTCAGCTGTGGCAACATGGCCGTCTGTCACCGGATTTCATTATGGAAATGATGCTAAAGAGGGCCACGGGCTCCAAAACCCATTAAACTGTCTTCTATTGCTTTACATATTCTTCTATGATAAAAATAGCCTGATATTTGAATTTAAGAAGCCTCTCTGCCTAAAGGGTAACGGATGGATATTAAGAAGATTATAATAAAGAGGGGGATTATCAAAAAAGAAAATGGAGGTGGGGGATAGATCGTTCTTACACTTAAGGCAAATCAGTTTTGGGGGCGACATCCTTTCCAGAATGTGCCACTTCCCTCTCTGGGCAGTAAAACCCCTTGACACCTTGCTCGCACCAAGGGCTTCTCAGCAGTGGGTTGTTGGGTTTTATGTCTCAGCAGCTTCTCTCCGTCTGCCCAGGGGTTGTGTTTGCAACTTGCCTCTCTAAAAACGTAATCTGCGTTCTGAGGTTTCCTCTCCAGAGCTCTCCACACAAGAGCCTACCCTTCCTCTAGGGTCTGTTTTCCTCCGATGCCTCCTTCTCCAGCGAGAACGAGAGATCCCCATGGCCGGGCTTGGCAATGTGCCTGCTGGGCATGGCATTCCCGCCAACCGCAGCACATGCAGAGGTGCGGGCAACAACCAGCCTTGATCCAAAATTTTGCAATCAACATTCACCCAAGTAGCCCCCTTAACACTTGGAACGGCTGCACCGAAATTCCATTCCACTAGATTTTCTTTGCTTAACAGCCACACAAAAACCTCTATGTTACCACACCACACCTCGGGGACAGCCACAGAATAGTGGATTGTTTCATTTACATAAAACAAGCAAAACTAAGCTTTGCTCTTAGGAATCAGCCAATGCCAACAGCAGCCACGTCTTCCCCTGCTTGTCCACTAACTTGCCCCCTTCCAGCACCTGGGAAGTGCGTCCTCCTGCCCACCCCTGTCTCTCAACTCCTTTTCATCTACATCATTTAAAAAGTCCATTCCAGAGTGTCATTCAATTTTTTTAAATTTAATGAAGGATCTTTGGTTTACATCCTTGTTCACTTTTTGATATAAAGGATTTCTCCCCTCAGGTATGGTCACCGCAGCTCTCCTGCCACCAAAGAGCCCGTGGCCTCTGCCTCATCCTGCCCTTCCCTCTGTTCTCACCCTTGGGATGCTTCAGATCTATGGTCAGTTTCCAAGGGTTGGTTTTATTTTATTTATTTATTTTTTAAGATTTATTTATGCACACAAGACCCGGGGTACAGGCCAGAGTTGTGGGGGAGGGTGAGAGGATTCATCAGAGACAGAGTGGGGAACAGAACAGGCAGACTGACTGAAACACACTGCTGAGGGGAGCCGTGGGTGGTCTGCCGTGCCATGTGGGTAGCTCCCTGGCAGGCCAGGGCTTGAATTCATGCTGCAGAGGCCTTGGATTGCCTCATAGTGTGGTGCTTAACCCCTTGCGCCACCAGGGAGGCCCTCTAGGGTTGGTTTTAATCTTGGGTCTTTGACCCTTTGTTTCTCTACATATTCCATATATAAGTGACACCATTGGTATTTATCTTTCTTTGGATTAATTTTGCTTAGCATAACCCCTTAGCATAACCCCTTCTGTTTTGAGAATGGTTGTCTAAGCACAAACTAGAATTCCTGGTCACCGGATCACCCACCCATTAGACCAGTTATAATAGTACAAAATCTGTTGCCCCCTGGGCCTCCCCTGTGATGCAGTGGTTGAGTGCTGTGTTGCGAAGCTTCCCGCAGCCCCTGCAGCACCGGTTCGATCCCCAGCTGCTCCCCAGCCACTGGAGGAGGGTCCCACATGGTGCTCAGACCTCTCCTGCAGCCCGCTGCTCCCCTCAGCAGTGTACTTCGTCCGTCTGCCTGTTCTGCTCCCAGCTCTGGCTCTGGTGAATTCTCTCACCCTCCCGTGCTTCTGACTGTACCCAGTGCTTGTATAAATAAATAAATCTTTTTTTAAAAAAATCTGTTACCCCCTTCTATTGGTTAGATATTTCTCTTTCCTGTCTGGAGATGCTTGGTTTTGTCTCACTGGCTTCTGTTTCATGTATTTCCTCAACTACTCTCTTTGAATAGGTTTTCCTCTAGTCTTGAACAAGAGTTTTGTTTTGGTGAAAGGTGGAATACTTTAATCATTGTCTTTTTCCCCTCCTGGGCTATTAAGTGTGGGAGACAAGACATCAGAAACATGCCTGATTCTCTGCCCTATGTTTGTAGTCTGTTCCTTTAATCACAAAGTGTGCAAAGCATATTTTCATCTTTGAGATTTAGGTATTTCACTAGGATTGATGAAGTCTGTAAATCTTTGTGTTCTTTGATTTCTTTTAAGCTGACAATTCATGTTTTTTTTTTAAGTTCTGTTAATTTTCTTCTTTTATTTCTGTCATTCTTTTCTCCTCAGCCAGAGTCTTTTTATCCTTTAAGAATTCCAAAATGTATCTCTCGAAGACTTTGGGATCTGTCTCCAGGCCTAGTAGTGTATACAGGAATTTTAAAACCAGGTAGCTAAGTAAGTGCGCTATGAAGTTGCACTTCATGAAGTTGCACTTTATGACTATGAAGTTCTGATCCACAACCAGAATGTCCCGGTACTCAAAGCAACCTGAATTTTTTTTTAACTTCTTTATTTATGCATACAAGAATTGGGGTACAGGCCAGAGGTGTGGGGGTGAGAAGATTCACCAGAGACAAAGTGGGGAGCAGAACAGGTGGAGTGATCGAAATACACTGCTGAGGGAAGCAGCAGGAAGACAGAAGAGGTCTGCTGCTCCATGTGGGTAGCTCCCTGGCTGGTCGGTCAGATATAGAACTTGTCATACAGTAGCTGTGGATTGCTTCATAGTGCTGATGCTTAATCCCTTGTGCCACCAGGGAGGCCCCAAGACTTAAAGGTTTTAATATATTTCTGAGCTTAAATAGCCCCAAGTGGAAGATGTGAGGAATAAATGTGATATTTCCTAAATATAGAGCTTGGTTGTTTTTTTTTTTAAGATTTATTTATTTATTTATACAAGCACAGGGTACAGTTAGAAGTGCAGGAGGGTGAGAGAATTCAGCAGAGCCAGAGCAGGGAGCAGAACAAGCAGACTGATGAAATACACTGCTGAGGGGAGCAGCGGGCGGCAGGAGAGGTCTGTGCGCCATGTGGGACCCTTGCTTTTGGCTGGGGATCTAACCAGCGCTGCAGAGGCTGCGGGCAGCTTCACAGCCCAGCACTCAACAGCTGAGCCACCAGGGGAGGCCCTAGAGCCTGTTTCTTTAACCAACATTTTATAAGGAATATTTGTAAACAAATGGAAAACTTGAAACAATAGTACAGTGAATACCTGTGTGCTGTCCACCCAGATTCCATAATTAACTTTTATTTATTTGTTTTATCATCAGTTTCTCTTTCTCTCTTTCTCTCTCCCCCACGCTGTCTCTCTCCCCCAAACTACCTACCTATCTATCTATCCATCTACCCATCCATTTATCCCCTTCTCCACTTATCAAACCATCTTATATTTGGAGACTTTCCCAAGCAAGCTGGAGGACGCTGGTATTCTTCAAATAGAAACACCTCAGCATAAACATTTGCATTTTTCTCCACCAAAATATATTTTGATTCATTTTTTTGTTAAGGTAAAAGTCATATAAAGTAAAATGTACAAATTTTAAAGATTTTAAAGAATCAGCACCTTTAAAGTATTTTTAATTAAATAACACTATTTTTAGATTTTTATCAATTTTGACAAATGCAAAGTTCTGTGTAACTCGAGCTCACCATCCTGGAAGCTTCCCAATGCCACTTCCCAGTCAGTCCTGACCCTACCCAGGCCCCCAGAGGAAATTATTTCAATGTCTTTACCTCTATCCCCTCAACAATCACCATTGCATTTTTTCCCACCAAGATTAATTTTGTCTGTTCCAAAGCTGATACGAGAGAGTGACTTCCACTCACCAGGATGCTTGGAGATTTCTCCACATTGTTGTTTAGATCTGTAATTTATGCTGTTTCCATCGTGTTGCATGACTCTCGAACTTGTATAAAATCTTTATCCTTTCTTCCTGCAGCCTCTCACTGAAGCAGGATGCATGGAATACATGTCAGGGGATATTGGGCTGCAGATTGGAGGAAGAGAAGAGACTGATCTGAAGAAAATAAGGGACCTTTATTCCAGTACAAAGATGCTGTGAGTCTTCTCACAGCTTCTCATATTTTAGTTTGTTTTTTTTTCCTTTAAAAGTCTTACTTCCATTAAAATGCACAAGGTATGCGATGCTTAATAGCTAGCATGGACAGGAGAGAAATGTCTGTGGTTTTATCTTATGACCTTGATTTATTTTTAATGCACGTTGCTTTAATAACTTTTCTACAACAGCTCCACTTTAATAAGGGTAACTTTTCTCAACAGAACACTCAAAAGCTTGCCTGTATCTCAAGGTTGTAGAAGAATCCAATGAGACATCAAGGCAAAGTTCTCACCCAACTGAGAAGTGCTCTGTGAATGCTGGTGCCTGTTACTAATGGCTGATTTGAATGTTCTTCTTTTCCCCACTCTGGATTGGTAAGTTTAAAGATGCAAGATAAAGCAGGCATCAGTCACTTCAATTTCTGGTTAAGAGAATGAGACATAGAGGAGGAAATGACCAACCACCCGTAGATGCAGATTTGGCCCCCAAATCACTCCAAAGGCTATTCCCCCCACATTTTTATTCCTCATTAATACAACATTGATTTCAATCCAGTAAAAACGCACACATCTGTAACTTGGGTTTTTTAATATTTTTTTAAGATTTATTTATTTATGCATATAAGAACTGGGGTACAGGCCAGAGGTGTGGGGGGTGAGAGAATTCACCAGAGACAGAGTGGGGAGCAGTCACCCTAGAACAGGCAGATCGACGGAAATACACTGCTGAGGGGAGCAGCAGGCGAGGCAGGAGAGGTCTGCTGCGCCATGTGGGTAGCTCCCTGACTGGGGATGTAACTTGGGTTTTAAATTAAGAGGTCCTGGATAAAAGTCTATCTAGACCTCCTGGTTTACCTACGAGGGTCCTGGCTTGAGTGCTGACACTCCCACCTGCACCAGGAAACGCTCCTGAGCCAAGAGACACCATGTCACCCCAACTTTCCCCTGGTGTCAGAGAAGGTCCATAAGAAGACATGAGGATGTTCACACGTCAGTCATTCTGAAAGTCAAACCACCACCTTCTCCAGGGACAATCAGCAATCCCTTTAAACCTAGTCCCTACTTTCCCCTGGAAGCAGGTGCCACACAAGAAAAGCTTCAGGTGTCCCTTGACAGTCAAACTGCCCTTACCTGGGGTCATCTGGTACCAGCTAAGACAATGGAACCAACACCCTGTATTTAAACTCCATGTCTTCTTCCTGGCTGCACAACTTTGAGCCAGTCCTTTGCACTTTTAAATGTCAAATGTCTGGCCTTAAGATAGGAGGAGTAACTACCTCTCTTGCAAGTTACTCTGTGCATGAAATGAGATCATGTGTCAAACATTTAGCAAGGTGCTGGGCACATTACTAGCATCCCTTGCCGAGGAGCTCCTTTGGTGGCTTATTATGCAAAACCTGCAAGTGAAACTTAAAAACCAGGCTGGAAGAGCCTCCACAGAGACCCAGACACCCTCTGCATCCACAGGCCTGGGGGTGTGATTCAGGATGACTCAATAGCAGGCATTCACCCTCGCGCCAAGGGTTAAACAAAGAGGCAACTGCTTTTACATCGGAATGTTTTTGTCACCCCTTTTTAATGTGAAACCTTTTCATCTGCGCTAAAGCTTCAGAAGTCACATTTCACCAACTCACTTTGAGACTTGCTAGCAATGGGGCTTTAATTACCTTTCGCAGACACAGAGATGGCTCTTGTCTTTAAAAGAAAGAAAGAATTCTTTTTTTTTTTCCTCCTTCGTTCATTCTTTTTTTTTTTTTCAGATGGAAATCTTTTGTTCCTGGCACTTTCCATATGCCACTCTTTAATATTTAATCAGCCCCCACCTCATCAGAACACTGCTGGCCTCATTAGATAATTAATGGTTGCCGGCATAGCATTTGCTTCAGTTAATACATCTGCAGCCAGCAATTAGCGCCTGAGTTTATTAGTTGCACTGGCTTCATTTATTGGGGAAGCAATTCTGCCTTTGATTGAAGCCGCTGGGACTGGCATATGTGGACAGCTTGCCCCCTGTTCTGTGGGATTCTTTTGTTTACATTTTTTTGCTACAGTTTTGCAACACTGCACATCCTAGGCTGCCATGAACAGTTGGTGGGTAAGATTTCCCTTTTATAATTCAGAAGATAATTGGGTAATTCTGTTCAGGAGAGAGGCTGCGGAGCGATTCTCCAACTTTGGGTGGGGGGAGGTAGGGGGGAGAAGCAGCTCACTCATTTGTTCTTTGGGGACATTTATTATTATTATTTTTAAAAAGTCATAGATCCAAAGCAGAGGAATATCCGTCCAGGACGAATGCAGGCTAAGAAATGGGATGGAGATGCGTTGTGCAGCTGCCTCAAGCCCGGTCTCGCTGCCGGGAAGTGCCACCTGGGAGGTGGGGGTCGTCTGCCCAGGTCCACCTCTAAACCTGCCTTGCACACTTTGGCCCTGTGCCCATCTCAGTTTTTGCTACCAGGTGGAATCATGCCATTTCACCTGCTTTCCCAGGGACCCTGATCACAGTCGTTTTCTTCCTGGTGATTAAAATCCTGGCATAACACCAAGATCATTCCCCCAGCCAAATCCCTCATCGCTCCCGATGCCAGGAATTGGGGGAGATGATCATTTAGAACACAATAATGACGTGCTACCCCAATGAAATGCGGGTGATGTTCTGTAGGTACATCAGAGGAAGGAAGGAAACAAAGAAAATAAAACTTTGCCAATTGGGGAAAATGAGCAGGAAAAGCAAACAAGACAAAAGCAATAAAGGTTTCCATTTTCTCTGTAGTTTTTCTTCCCAGGCAAAATTAACTGTATCAAGACCAAGCCAAATGCATGCGCAGGGAAGGGAGAGAGGGAAGATGGTGATCATGACGACGGCCACAGACATTTATCGAGCTTTTTCCAAATGCCAGGCGTCCCCGCGCTGACACCAGTCACGTGTGTTTCCTCATTGAACACCGAGCTGTATCTATCGCCTCTTTTTATGTTTGGGATAAGGGAAAGATTTCCACTGCTTTTATTTTTTTTTAATATTTTTTTTAAGATTTATTTATTTATGCAAGCACTGAGGTGTAGGCCAGAGAGTGGGGGTGAGAGAATTCACCAGAGAGAGCAGGGAGCAGAACAGGCAGAAGGACCGAAATCCACTGCTGAGGGGTGCAGCGGGGAGACAGGAGGGGTCTGCTGCGCCATGTTGCCATGTGGGGATCTCCCTGGCCAGCTGGGAATCGAACCGGCGCAGCAGAGGCTGTGCACAGAGGCTGCAGACAGCTTCACAGCTCTGCGTTCAGCCCGCTGCGCCACCGGGGAGGCCCGACACTGCTTTTAAACGTGTTTTCCCAAGACCACACAACTTGGGAGCATCTGAACATCTTGGGAGTTGCTGAGTCCCGTGTCTATCGGTCAATTTGCAGCCATACTTTATCTCATTCTCAGAGGAACAGTGTGACGTTCTTGAAGTTAAGTCACTTACCCAAGATCATGCAGCCGGCTGAGCAGAGTGAGAGCACCCCAGGACCCTCAAACCTGCCTGCTCTACATGGGTTCTGCCATCCACTGGATCAAAACAAACATACTCTACTGCGTAAGACCTTCAATAAAAAGGAAATTTAGGGACCTCCCTGGTGGTACAGCGGTTGAGCCCTGGGTTGCGAAGCTGCCCGCAGCCTCTGCAGCGCCGGTTCGATCCCCGGCTGCTACCCGGCCACCGGAGGAGGGTCTCACATGGCGCGCAGACCTCTCCTGCCGCCCGCTGCTCCCCTCAGCAGTGTACCTCGGTCCTTCTGCCTGCTCTGCTCCCCGCTCTGGCTCTGGCTCTGGTGAATTCTCTCACCCTCCCGCGCTTCTGACTGTACCCAGTGCTTGTAAATAAATAAATAAAATCTTTAAAAATAAATAAATTAATAAATCTTTAAAATAAAAAAGGAACTTTAGTACAATTAGTGTGCAGTAGAGAGAAGAAAGAATAGAGTTAAAATACTTTCCAGTGAAACACCCAGAGTGACCCATCCCCTCATGGGTAAACGCCCAGCCAGACAGGGTTGGCCCGAAGCAGAGCCACTGAGGCCCGATGCCTGCCCCAGTCTATGGCACCTGATTTCGGGGAACCAGAGGAAAGGGAAAGAAAGGCCAGCAAGTCTGGAAGAAAAATAGCAAAACAAACGGCAAGTCAAGGTAACAGGTGCCGTCGTCGGCCTCCTGACAGGTCTCTCCCCCGTGTCTCTGTTCCTTCCTTTCCTCCAGCCTTTCCTGGCTCTCCTCCCTGCCCATCTGCACCGCTCCTTAGGGTGGGGCGGGGGGCTGGAGCCTCCCTTCCTCTGGGCATTGCTCTGTCATGTGGCCACAGTTGCGAAGACACACCAGCGAGGGCCCCAGTTGAGGCTGGGGCCGAAGAAACCATCGATGGTGACTCCAACTTACTCAAAACCGTGGGCTGTGTTTTGGAATGCTCCGTGATACTGACATCCTTCAGATGCCTCAAGGATGGTTCTAGATGCTTCTTTAGACCTAAATGGTAAGATTCATCTTTTGTTTTTCTTCCAGCATCATTGAGTTTTCAAACTCAAATAGAAGACTGCAAAGATAAACCGCATCACCAGTGAGAATGCACAAGCTGGAGTGTTCCCATACGGCGCGGTGCTCCTTGCGCTTCAAAGCACCAGCAAATAACAAGAAGGCTTTGTTCCATGCAGACTGTGGTTGTAAAAGGTGGGCAGCGCTTGGGGTGCTGAACTTTTACAAGCTCCCAAGTAACAGCAAGGCTGCTAAAACAATGCTTGCCCAGCAAGGATGTACCTCAGCATCACCCGGGGTGCCCGTGTTTCTAAACCCCAGTTTGAGGCACCATCCTAGCAATTAACCTAGTATTTCTGGGGGTATGCTCAGGATTCAGTATATTTTAAAAGCACCCCAGGTGATTCTAACACACATTCAGAACCACTGGCTTAAAAAGAAAAGGCTCAGCAGGACACGTCAGCCAAGTGTCATCTGGGTGATGCCAACTGAAAGAGAGACAGAGGCAGATAAAAGACATTCCCATTTGCAAGACGAGAGTGAAGACCTGCCTGGCTTGTAAACCATCTGAGTCTTCGCATATGAACCACTGCTCTTGTGTGACATCACGCACCATCTTGGCCCCATGACAAGCTTCCTGGGTCCATGTGCACAAGCTGTTAAAGGACCTGGGTCTTACCGTTCTCATCTGTATGATGGAACTGGCCCTCTACCTGCACGGGTGGTGGAGCCGATCGGTGGTTCTTGTGTTCTAGCGATGGAAGAATAACAGACACACAGGACTGAAGCTCAGGTTTATCGCAAGAGAAACTCCTGCCAGCAGGAGGGGGCCCGTGGGACAAGCCTGTTACTGCTGGGGGTAGGTTTACTTTTATACTTGCTCATGCAGCCTTTCCCCTGCTCTGGTAATTCTCCACTACCCCCCTTTGCCTCATTGCCCCACTTTGCCACCTAGAGGTGTGAAGCTACCATGAGCTACTGGGTGCCTCTCTATGCCTCTCGTGGGTACCGGCCTCTGCCTGCGAACTCTGTGGCCAGCAGCCTTTGCCTCTCAGCTTTCTGCTCCCTCAAGCACCCAGCCTCAGCCTGCTATCTCGTAGCCAGCCCTTGCCAGCCAGCTTGCAGCCAACTCCCGCAGGCCAGCAGCCTGGCCAGCTGGTTCTGCACTTCCTCAGTATGAAAGGCAGTACCCAGTGTGTGAGTTCTCTGCAAAGGCGAGAGAAGCAGAGCCAAGCAAGACACGGCAATTAATAACACCTTCCCCTTGAGCGGGACAAGCTTTTCCAAAGTGGTGCAGACTCTTACATAATGACTGTCAGGACAATTCAGTCCTGAACGCCTGTAGCACACGTTGTGTGATAAACAGACCATGTGCAGCGGATTTTATTTTTCTTATAAATTAATGTTCAAAATATAGTCCTGTGAACAAGGTAAGACAATACTGGAAATAGGTTGGAAAACAGACTGAACAGTATGACTTGCTGAAAATATATTTATGCATTGAAAGTACAGTCTATCAAGGTTTTTATGTGTTCTTTCACCCCGTGGTTGTGATCGCTTATAGTTGATTTAATAACATTTTTCATAACATTTTAAAGAATTAATTTAAAATGAACTTTTACATGGCCATCGCATCTATTTCTTACTTAATTCTCTCTCTCGCTCTCCCCTCTTCGCCAAGGTCTGCCTGTTGAGTAATGAACTTACTGCTATCATTTTCCTTCACTCTGTGAAGGTTATAATTCATGTTTCTTTTGTTAAATAGCCTGAGAATACTTCTCAACACATAACCCCAGGCAGCCATTTCCAATCAATCATAATTGTCATACAAGGTGATATTGATTTTTCTTCCCTGCTCTAGACCCCTTCGTTGGATATTTACCCCTCACCCGAATACAGATGGCTCTATATTTGTCTCTCTGCGTCATTCTCTGCTCTGAGAGATCATTAGATTTGCCCAACTGCTAATTAAATTTCTGGTCCCTTAAGGGTCACTAGGATGGTGACCAACCCATCTGGCTTGTTGGACATTCCCTGGATTTCAAATTGAAAACCTCATATCCTAGAAAGTTACACAGTCCCAGGGAAACTGAGATCTTTGGTCGCTCTGGTTCTTAGTATGAGTCATGTGGATGAGAACAGGCCAAAGCTACTTGCAGGAAGGCAAGTCAGGTAACTGGTCCAAGGTCAAGAGGAACATCTCCAGCTTCTAGTCTGAGAACATCGAGAGTCTGAGTAGCACCCCAGGGCATCCAGGAACCCAGGTACAAGCTGTCTCTGGCCGTTATTCAGGCTGTGACCTCTTCCAAGAGCAGGTACTGATTTCACTGGAGGAACTTGGCCTCTTGGCTCAGAACAACAAATCCTCCGCCAAGTAACTTGCAATGTTTCAACAGGGCACTCCAGATGATCCCAGACTTGCAAATGTGGGATGAGGATGAAGTTCTAGACCCTGGGATGGATCCTCTCGTTCTTTAATGGTGGGTCTTAGCCCTCAGCCATTCCTCTCCTCTATGAATTCAAGGCACCTTTCTTTCCAGAGCACATGTAAGCACCAAAGTGAATGATGATCATCTTCTAAGTTAATGATACTTTCTTGTATTCCATATGCAAAAAGTAAAACCTCTCTGATTTCTTCTTCTGAGAGGCCATTAATAGAAATCTTTAAAAAGACAGTTTCTTAGCACTGGAAATATTAAGCTGTTATTATGGCAAATGAGCTTATTTTTACTTTCAAATGAAAATATAAATAAGTAATAAGTAAATATTAGCAATTTCAGCTCCATAATGAATACGGACAGAATTGGGAGCTGAAAGAGTGTGTGCCTATTAGAGAGGCTGGGAAATTAACATTTGTTGACATTTTACTGCTTTTAGCTTTAATGCAAACTAGAGGCAATTAAGTTATGTTCAACACATTTCCCTTGTAAATATTTTCTGTTTCTCGATATAGTAACCAAGATGTCTTGCAACAGTGGCATATTAGCAGGCCCCAAACTGGGGGGAAGCCTTACCTGTCATCTGCCAGTGTAAAAATAGAAAGCCCTAAATGCATGAATAATTCAGTGTTTCTCTTCTTCTAGTTCTTATCCACATCATGGCTATGCCATCTACCATTCAGGATGCCTTCTGATTTTTTTTTTTTTTTTTTTGTGGGTTTTTTTTTTTTTACAGTTGATCTGTAGGTAAATCTATAAATTTCTACTCAGAAGAACATGAATTATGTGATGCTTGAATGAAATGAAGACAAAAACAAGCTTGAATATTTAAACTTGCAGTGAGTATCCTCAATGATAGATCCTTTCAGACTCCAACTCATTTTTTTCTTTGATATCTACTACTGCTATAAAGTCCCAGTTTATCATATAACATTACAATTTATGGTGTAACCAGCTTGTGTGCTGACTATAAACCCTTCATCAATGCCACCGTAAAGGGTTTATAGTCCATAAATAGGAGAGCAAGACTGTCTTGCCTCCTTGTTTTGCCCAAGACACAGCACTTCAGACATGTCAGCCTAGTTATTTGTTTTACATGCCGGGTGAGTTACAGGAAAATAAGTGGATTCATTGTCTTCCCTCTCTAAAATCCAGAGACAATTCAGGGTCACAGGGGAGATTAACAATGTGATGTTGGCTGGAGAGCTACAAGAGAATACGTCTGTTCTTATTACATCATTAATCTGTAGGTGGGAAATACAAAAGCAAATTTCAAAAATCAAGTAATTAGAGATATGCTTTTTCTTTTGAAATCAACCAGCCACGTCATAACGTCATAACTTAAATTAATGGGATATGCAGTCCCACAGTATTTACTGTCATTCAGTCCCCTGTTTCATGTGCTCCTGGCTCTGTATCAACCCTTTTTTTGGAAAGAGCACTGTGGTTAGCACAGGAAAGAGCTGGGCTCAATTGGGAGCTGCAGTCCTGATGAACGGTGTCATCCCAGGCAAGTTTCAGAAATCTGATCAATGCCTTTCCTCACCTATAAAGTGGAGGTGATAATGTGATGTCATTTAAATGTAAATTTCCTCAGCCCTTATCATTCTTCTAATATGATGATGGTGGTGGTGATGATGATGGTGAAGATGGTGATGGTGATGATGGTGATGACAATGGTGATGATGATTGTGAAGATGATGATGATGGTGGTGATGATGGTGATGATGATTGTGAAGATGATGATGATGGTGGTGATGATGGTGATGATTGTGAAGATGATGATGATGGTGGTGATGATGGTGATGATGATTGTGAAGATGGTGATGATAAAGATGATGGTGGTGGTGGTGATGTGATAATGGTAACAATTGTGATGATGATTTGATAATGATGATAATGAAGACAATAATGATGATGCTGATGGTGATGATCTTGATGATGAGGCTAATGACAATGATAGTGATAACTGTGATGATGATGATAATGGTAGGAGTGATGGTGATGATGTAATGATGACAGTAGGGATTACAATGATGATAATGATTTAGCAACTTTATGTCCTATTTTATACATAATAATAATAATAATGATACTCAGAATTACATAAGTTGTGCCATAAACTAGGTTCTGAAACCAACCCAATTATTCAGCAGTTCAGTATTAATAATGTTATTACATCACCTACTTTTAGAGGATGGTTCAAAAGAATAGTCAATATTCAGACCTTGTTGGCAAGTTGGCTCTTCACTATCTGCATAATAAAGTTTCAACCTCCCTAAATCTTAAGATATTTGTAGAAGTCCCAGAACAGGGTATTTCTTCTTCTATGTATTTGTTTTGCCTTGTTACCTACAAAGTCACTGATCCTGGCATCTCATCCTAGAGCTGACATCCATAATGATATTGATATTTTTTCTGAAGACTGTAAGAACTCCAGGGTGCCTGAGGCTGCAGACCCCTGAGGTTAGAAATCAAGGCTGTTCTCCTCACAGTCCCAAAGCCATGCTGTGGTCCTGACAAAGGTTAAGGCGAATCCCTGCTTGGTTTCCTAGATCCTAAATTAATGCTGCGTTTTTGTCCCAATATCACAATTCCTTGTGCCAACAGTTTCATTGGCTTCTGCACAAAACCTCTCTCATCCTAGCCAGAGACATATTCATAAGGTCATGTCAAGGACAAGACCAGTTCCCCATCGTGTCCCATCTTGGGACTTGAGACAACTTTGCCATGGTCAGCAGCAGTGGGAGTTGAGAGAGCCACCTCAGTGCTGGTGGGAACTTAGAATTTTGTGGGAGCTTTACAGTAATATTCCTGAGCTAACATAAATAAGAAAAAGATGTTTCAGTAAATGGAAAGGTCCAATGAAGTATCCTCACTTCAAGGGAGACTGAAGGAGGGAAAAGGTCCCAACTTTAATTATCGACACATTTGAATATCTTCATTCTGTGCAAGACACAAAGAGGATCAGGTAAGCCCTGAGGGATTTCCAGTCCAAAGCTGGCTAATCTCCAGTTAAACAGGGCCATTATCTCTCACTCCCTGGGAGAAAGTCAAGCAGAACTGATTTGATTAACAGCAGATTAACCTCTCTAACACAGCCATCCTGGGCTTTACACCTGTCACTTTAGTATGACAATTTATATTTATTCAAAAAGCCATGAGACAGTAAATTAAACATTGCCCTAATTAGAAAAGTGTCATATGTTACAGTGGGGAAGCCACCTGATCTAATTTTCCAACAGGCCCTGTGCAAAGAACATGTCACTGTGGCATTAGCAAAAGCCCTATAAACACCAGCACTCCTGGGAGAAGAAAATCCAGACTGCCGGTGCTACATCTTGGCTTTGGAGAGGAGACGGTCACGATTCAATCCAAGCATCATCGATTGTGCCCCTGCAGGGTACCGTGTGCTGGGACTCAGCAAGAACCAGGATGGATCTCAGTTCTTGGTGACCTAGGAACCTAGAGGGAGAGAGTTTTGAACCCATGCTAAGATTAATATTCCATGCTGGGAAAGCAAGAATAAATAAATAAATAAAAGGAAGCACATGACATTAATGCAGTCTTGGGGAAGGTGACAAAGAACATTCTGGAAAGGGATGATGTCAAAAAATGGTAGCTGAACTTCCCAGTGCAGTTTTCTAAGCTTGTTTCTGTTAAGTGTGCACCCTGGAGGGAATTGTCATGTGTATGCTTTCACTTGAGTTAAAGTTTCTGGGAACCTTCGCATATATTGCCCTGTTTACTCCACAACATTCCTAGAATACCTACTAATGCTATCAGGATTTATAGGAAAATGTTTCTCATACATACATGGTCTTCAACCACAGTTTTGGACTCACAACTTCCAAAAGCCTAGAATTTCAGACACATTGCCAATGATAAAGGTGTCTCTTGTTCTGTGATTTTTGGGGAGTTGCCCAAGGATGGGGCCTGATTGCTGGGTTTGCAATTCTAAGGGCTTTGACCTCTAAAGAGAGAAGGGCTAGAAGTTGAGTCAATCACAAGGACCAATGGGTTAACCTGTCCTGCTTAGGTAATGAAGCCCCCTAAAGAGGCAAGAGCTCCTGGGATGGTAATTATGTGAAGATTATCGGCTGTAACTAGTTCCTTGTCTACATCCCCCTAAGGGTTCATGCCTTATTCTTGGATTTGAACTATTTCCCAACTTTTGAGGGATATTTCTAGGGTTAGAAGCTTAGCAAAGAGCAATGTAACAAAAGAGAAATAATATCCTTGCCATTTTGTGTAGAAAACCAAAAAAGAACTTCCCAGGAGGTTACAAGCGTGCAGTAGAAACTGGAGAAAACTTGATAGTCTTTTTGGAATCTCAAGAAAATGCTGAGCTGGACAGTTGTTCATCAGAAAAGTGGGGTTAAAGCAAACAACAGTTATCCTCTGAGAACACCCTAGTGAGGCATTGACTCAAACATCTCTTACTCTTTAATCCAGTGATGCTACTTCTAGGATCCATAAATACGTCATATTCACTGTAGCAATATTTATGATAGAACTAAACCAAGGGAAGTGACATTTTCAAAATAGGTGAATGGTTAAATAAATTATAATATATTCCTGTGATGGGATATTACAGGTCATTAAGATTATGAAAATACATAATACTTATATTTTAAATTGGTGAAAAAATGGTGAAAAAAAGCAATGTAGAGAACTTTATATATGAAGCATAGTAAATCAATTTCATCTTTCATGATGGAAACTGGTTTGAGCTCCAGATTGGAAAAAATTCTGAAGCTTGTCCACATCCAGCCAGAATGATTAGCAATGTCTATGTGGGCTTAAGAAGAGAGAATATCCCACCTGTGCCAGTGATTTGTCATGCCAATTTTATTCAAAATAATTTAACTATGATGCATTCAATATGTATTCATACACATGCATATGTTAATGAAGGAGGGAGGGAAAAGGCTCAGCAAAACCAAAGCAAAACTGTTGATAAGCAGAAAAGCATGATTGTCGACTTGTGTGATAAGATGGGAAAGGATTTCTGAGGCTTCCGTCTTAATTATCGCAGGGATTAGATAAAGGTATGTGGAGATACAAATAGATTATATGCCCCTGGAATGGCTATCACCAAAGAAACAGACAATGGCAAATTTGTTGAGGACACAGAGAAATGGAAATCATCATATGTTGTTGGTGAGAATGTAAAGTGATATTGCAAAATCAGTTTGGCAATTATTAAGAGTTAAGTATAAATATAACCAGATGACCCAGCCATTCCACGCTTCGGTATTTACTATAGGGAAATGAAAATGTGACTAGCACATAAATGTTCTTAACAGTCTAATTTATGGTAACCCCAAGTTGGAAGCATGACATCCCCATGCAGTGGAATATTATTCAGCCATAAAAGGAATGAAGTAGAGTAAGTCCTCTTACTTAGCATCACCACTAGGTTCTTGGAAACTGTGACTTTAAGCAAAATGATGTACAACAAAACTAATTGTATCATAGGCTAATTGATAAAAACAAGAGTCAAATTCTTCCAGGATAGTCCTAATCCCAAAAACATCACCAAATTTCTAAATAAATATCCAAACACTTCTAATATTCAACGATCATTTGTATTCATTCATTTATTCATTCATTCATTTTCCAATGTGCTTATTCCAGTTCAGGTCATGGACAGCTCAGGGAGAATGCACCGGAAGCCCTTCCATCACAGGGTGCATCCTGACACACACACACACACATACAAACACACACACACACTCCAACTAGGACAAGTGCGACATGTCTTTGACTTGCATGTCTTTGGCATATGGGTAGAAACTACCAGAGTCCCCAGGGAAAACCCACACAGACATGGGATTATGTTCAATCTCCCCACAGACAGTAACCCCAGAAGGGATTCTAGCGACAGCAAATGAGAAGATGATATTCAAAGACCTGAGAGGCTAATTTGTGGCATACATGGACTTTCATGACATCATGCAACGTGAAATATGCCAGACACAAAAGACCACATGTATCACATCATTCATTTACATGAAACTCATAAAAGAATCATATGTATAGATGTAGAGAGCAAATGGTTACCCGAGGTTAGAAAGGTATAGAGATTAATTATCAATGAGCACAAAGTATCTTACTGGGCTGAGAAAAATGCTCTGCAGCTAGATTATGGTATAGTTGAACAACCCAGTCATTTACTAAGAATTATTGAATGGTGCACATTTAAATAAAGTTGTTTAAAATGATGAAAATGGAAGGAGGAAGATTGGAAGTTCACAATGCAATAGTATCGGTCACTCTTTATGGTGGTAGCCTTTGGGAAGGTTATTTTCTTCTTCACATTCATGTTTTCCTTGTTTTTATTTGAATATACATTTTTTAATAATCAGGGGAAAACTAACAACACTAGACCCCCACACAACCCCCTGCTGGAATCATTAGATGTCCATTGCAGATGTTAATCTCCTACCCTCTGCTCGATTCCCAGAAGGTGCTAGAATGTATCAAGAAGCCAAGCCCACCTTGCTGTGGGGACTATTCATGCCCACGCAGATGTTGGACATTCTACTACAGCAAACATTTTTCTCCTCTTCTAATAACCAGATGAAGTATTTTCACCTTTCAAATGCTTATTTTCCAAGCTTCCAATTTCCTGGGGCCATGGTCTCCAGGTCTGACACGAAGTAAGCCGTCAAGCTTCCTGTTAGAGAAAATGGTGCAGGGGCCATGTAAGGTCAAGACCGCACCTGCCAGAATCCTCTAGAGTCTCAGAGAAATAACTCTGCTGAGGTTTTCTCGACATCTCAGACTCCCTGTGTTAACATGGTCTGCAGTGTCTGCATGATATTTTATAGCTGTTCTGTAGGTGCAGGTCCTTCCTAATAAGGGCATTTTTTTCTACCTGCATGGGAAAAAAAATGTCACACAATACAGTGGGTTCTCACCCTATTACATTCCTTAGAGAGAGGAGTCAATGTCAATGAAGTTGGTAAAACATAGGACATTGAATAGCTTAGTCAACAAAATCACATGCATTACACCGATCTCTTAGTGTATGCCAGATACTATGCTAAACAGTTTATACACAGTATTTCATTTAACTCTCACTACAGCGCTGTTTTATTACCTATAATGCACTTGGAGGACATGGGCTTGGGGGAAGAGCTGACTCCATTAGCAAGGTTGAAGAGCCTAGGTTAGCATGTAGATCTGATTTAGTCCCAACTCTGCTTTGTTGTTGTCAAGACAAAAGTGCCATTATTGTTTGCACTGGGCTCATAGGCAGGAACTCACCCAACTTAGACATCAGAGGGGAGCAAGATTAGTGAAAATTAACACACAAATGTTCACTGAAATTCCTTTCAGGAAGTGACTCAGAGATAGCAGACGTGTGGCTGACAGACCTAATCCACTGGGATGTGGATTAGGTCAATGTTCTCTGGTGGAAAGTGCTATATCACAGTGTCCAAGGCAAATAAGGGAGAATGTGTGCTAGTGGAGCTGATATTCTGGTTTTAAATGGACCTAAAAGGGACTGGATCATATGTGTGCATGTGACTGTAAAGTGTTCATATCGTAACATGGTTCTTTAGAGTTTTGACTTCTGGGATTTTGTATCCCAATTAATTAATTAACTTGGTCCCTCGCTTCCATCCCTCTCATTTGAAGTATACCAGGTCTCCACTGCCCAAAGGAAGGATCATCAGAGAGAGAAAATATTGGGGTTTAATTCTAGACTTGCCCAGTGCACTTTCTTCTGCTGAAACTAAATTAGATTTCACAAGATTAACAAAAGGGAACGTGGAAAGGAAAAAAAAAAAGATTTCCACTCAATTAAAAAATCATCATGGGATATTCTGTATTTATATAAATTAAAATGTGTATATACAAAACCATCGCATATATTTTCCAAGAAAACATTTAAGTCAAAAGGCATGTGATAATCACATTGTTGGTTAGCTCATGAGAAGAGGAATAGGGTTGGAGGATGGATGAATGGACAGGTGGGTGGGTGAATGGATGGATGGATACATAGGTGGGTGGATGGATGGATGGATGGATGGATGGATGGATGGATGGATGGGTGGATGGATGGATGGATGGATGGATAAATAAATGTGCTAGGAACTGAGAAGAAATATTATTTCCATGCTCGGCAGCTAAGATTTCTTGAAGAGGAGGATACAAAGCAAATTACAATTAGAGGCTGCCATGAGTTTAACAGGTGGGACTCTGCCCTCCGTCCACTTCCTTAGGTCATACTCCCACTTGTGGAAGGAAAAGTCTCAGACAGAGGAAGAGATCTAAAGTCATAGGGAACCTGTACACTATTTTCTCAGTAAAATTCAAGAGGCATTAGGACTCACACAGAGGTTGCTGTGGTGGCTTCATTTGTCATCAGTAGAGTGGAAAAAACACCGGGGTGTGCAGGCAGAAAGCTCCGAGAGAAGGCCACTGAGCTGCCAGGGTCCCCGAGAGGTGAGCAGAAATGCCACAGGCATCTGCTGACCCACCGAGGCATCAACTTTAGGACAGATGAGACACGAAGTGACCTGCAACCTGG